GCGTGCATGGGCGTGCGTGGGCGTGCGTGGGCGTGCGTGCGTGCGTGCGTGCGTGCGTGCGTGCGTGCGTGCGTGCGTGCGTGCGTGCGTGCGTGCGTGCGTGCGTGCGTGCGTGCGTGCGTGCGTGCGTGCGTGCGTGCGTGCGTGCGTTCTTGCGTGCGTGCGTGCGTGCGTGCGTGCGTGCGTGCGTGCGTGCGTGCGTGCGTGCGTGCGTGCGTGCGTGCGTGGGTGGGTGCGTGGGTGGGTGGGTGGGTGGGTGGGTGGGTGGGTGGGTGTGCGTGTGTGCGTGTGTGTGCATGTGCGTGTGTGTGCCTGTGCGCGCGTGTGTGTGCGTGTGTGCGTGTGCTCTTGTTCGTGTGCATTTGCGTGCACTTGCGTGTGGGCTGTTGGCCTGTGGTGTTGTAGGGGTGTGGGGTTGCGGGTGTGCGGGTGGCCATAGTGCTGGGAGTGCTTGTCATGCTCAGGCGCGTGTCAAGTGCTTAGGCGGCTCGCTGTGGCAAGCACAAATATGGTAAGCATGCAAAATTCAAGTTGTTGGACAACGGGCATCTACCGGCCATGGTTCAACTACCACCTTGGACCTGCACAGAAATCATTAGGCAACAAAGCAGTGAGACCCCACTCAAAAGCCGATCGCCGCCCCGCCATCCCCCACCCTTGGTGCAAGCAAGAAGCCACAAGTGCAGTGAAAAAAACTTTAGAGCAACCCACGCGCCCCACGCCAACTAGTTATACTGTCCATGCAACTGCTCACACCACCCTGTGATTAGTCAGTCGAAATCTGGTCCAAATGATGATGGGGACAGCCCCCCTGCTGGCCTACCCACACGCAAGCAAGCGGAACGTCATCTGCAGCAGAGAAAGCACAAAGGCGCAGGCCGCATTCACGACAAGGGGATTGAATGCAACCCAATGCAATGAGACAAAATGCGGCCAAGTGCAATGGCATGCTATGCAAGGACATGCATGCATCAACACACTGCGGCACAGCACAACTCACCGAAAAGCAAGACCTTGTATCTCAATGGGGCACAAAGGACATGGTGATGTTGCGTGCGCATCAGCCGCCATGCTTTTGGGATTAGTGAGGCCATCCAGGCCTGCTCGTGCCACCGGCACAAGGCTGTCTTGACATGCCGGATCCATCTGTGGCCAACAACTTCCAAGAATAAAGCCGTGACCGTGTCCTCCTCAGCCAACAAGCGAAATTTGCCCTGACCTGGAGTATACTGCAAACGGCCCTTCAACGGCTGCTTCCACTTCCACTCATCTATGTTGCGGAGCATGATGGTAAGCACAGAGGCATATTCTTTCGCAAGCTTGCTGTCCTCTTCTGCCACTTTGGCAACCAACTGGGCGCTGTCTCTGTCTTTGATTCTTTCTTTCAGGAAACTGGCTGCCTGCCGCACCTCTCCAACGCTGATCGCCTCACAAATCGTGTGGCAGAAGCGCTCGGTCTCGGCTTGAACTTGCTGCAGCTGTGGCCCGCTGAGCATCTCAGCCACGAACTCTCGATCAAAGGCTGGAGGCTCTGCATCCTCTGTCAAAGGAGCCACGCTCTCTTTCATGAAGCGCTCCTGCTTGCTCCTCATCTCTTCAGGCTGGCTCTCCCGAGGCTTCGGGGCATTCTCAGCATTCAGCCATTCGTCCAACAAGCGCACATAGAGCTGGGCGATGGACTTTTTGTTGCCGATCTGTACCTCCTCGCGACTGAGCTGGGAGGTAATTTCTGTCAGCTTCATGCGAGCAGCCTCAACGAAGAACTTGTCTTCGAGCGACATGGCAGCACGCAGCCCTTCTCCACTGTGGAGCATTTGAGCCGACTGCTACACGGCGTTCTTGCTCAAAGAGCAACCAATCCGAACCAGTGCAAACCAATCCGAACCAATCCGAACCAATGCAAACCAATGCAAACCAATGCAAGCAAGGGGCTCTATTCCAGCCGATGCTCTTGTTTCCGTCCTTGGTTGCCGGCCGTGCTTGACGAGTGGCACCTCAGCTGAGCCCCTGGCCACAAGCGGCTCGACGCTGTGCCCTGCGGAACCCTGCAGGCCGTGATCAATGTGAAGCCGGAGAGCGAGGTACTGGCAGCATGGTGGTGGTCGAACTGCTCCGTGCCATTGTCCAAGCCGAAGCTGCACTCCCAGTGCATTAGAAAAGATTGCGGCAGAGTGTGCATAAACGAGTAGTACAAGCTCCCATTGTTGTGGAAGTTGGTGCCCACCATGATGCAGTCGTCATCCGATGTGGCTGTCCAAAGCAGCTCCACTTGAAGCTCGTTTCCAACGACGACTACATCTCCTGAGAGGAAGTGGAGTTCAGCTTGTCCAACCCTTCGATGTGCAACGCCAGGTTGGCCGCACAGTCGCCACAGCGCGGACGTTTCAGCTGGCTCCGCCGGACCAAACGGCCAGGGAGCATCTGGAACTGGAAGCAGCTGCCGGACCGCGGCCCCAAAAATGACCATGCTGTGGGCGAGGCTCTGGAAACCTGCCACCCCTATCCATGTGCAAACTCGGTGAAATGAAAAAATGCAAGTGGCACGCCACACCACGCACGCCTTTTTGCTCCCCCCCCCCAACCCGCCACCCCACACGGAGGCTGGAACACTGCGTGCTGCAGGCGGGCCATCGCCACAAAGCGCTCGGGCCCGCGGCTCTCGCGGCTCACCTCCCGCAGGGCGGCGACTTCGCGGCAGGCGCCGCCCTCAGAGACGTCGGAGCCCATCCGTGCCACGGACCGGGCGAAGCGTTCGTCTTCGGCACTCTCCTGGACCGGCTGGCCAGTCAGCAGCTCTTCCAGCTCTTGCAGTAGAAAAAGGAAAGCCTCCGCCCAGTGCGGCTTTTCAAGCAGATAATACCAAGGTGCACCCCTCCAAGCCTCAACATGCTGAGCGTCTGCCATCTCAGCCAAGTGGGGGATGTAAGCTTCAACTTGGCTGCCTTCAGGAAACACAGAAAATTGCTTCAGCGTGACTACCCAGTTGAGCGACATACTGAAGGCCTGAGTAAGCCTGCACGCTGGCTCCACGTGGCAAGCTTCTGGAAAATATTGGGCGTAGGAGGTAGCCGTGAAGTAGGGCGTATCCAGCCCATTCTTGAAGTTTCCAAAGCCGGCACTGTGCCAGAAGTGGTGGCCGATGAAGCGAAAACCCCACTGCTCTCTGAAATACACCTGCTGCAGTGTGAGCAGACGTTCGAGGGAAGCTTTCTGCCACAGGTGGTCAAAGCCGGGCCAGAAGCCGTTCTCATATGGACTTAAGAGCACGTGGTGGCAGCTGCACGGCAACCTCTCGTAGCTTTGGCAATCCGGCACAAAGGTCGTAGGCTCCTGACCAACGCACATTCAGGCATCCAGGCTTGCTCACCGAACTTCAAGGTCCAATGCGGGCCTAAGGCGCGTACGACATCATCATAGTCATCGCTCGCCCGAGTAGTAGCAGCCAGAATGGTCACAGTTTGTGCAGAGCCTTGCACCTCCAGTGTGGCAACCTCCTGCAGCGCAGCAGCCTGTGACAAGCACAAGGCAGACCACAACGACTGGGCGCCCATACGGTCACCACTTGTGCCCGTCTGACTTGGAGCATCTCCAAGGCTGTGTTGCTTGCAAATGTCGGTGAGAACAAACATACTTGGCGCTTTAAAGATGTCTCTGCTGTTGTGCTGCGTCATTTGTGGACACGCGCAACAAGTCTGACCTGATATGGCAGCACGAGCAAATCTCCTGCGTCAGCCATAATGTCCAACCAGGCGGATGCACTTGGCTTGGCACCGGCCGTTTCAGAGCAACGAACTCATCAATGAACCTGCAGCTATCTTCCGAAAACACCGTTGCCCGCTCGGCAACAAGGCCCCCATGTGGAATCAGTAGTGGCATGCAGACAGGCTTCACATCAGAGCCTCTGTGCAGTGAGGGAGCTGCTGTCCAACCTAAGAATTAAACACCCAGTCATGGAGAGGAAGGCTGTGGTCAAATTGCAGTGTTTCAGGGCAGCATAACTCAGGCATCTCAGGCGCCAACACCACAATGCTTGTAGATGCCTCCGGCACCTTGGCTATGGCTGACCAGCAGCTCGGCAGTGCAATTGTGCCGCGTGGAATCCAGAAGCGTTTCAGCCAGCGTTGCCTGTGACACAGCAAGGAAGGCCCCCACATACCCCAACAAATTGGACGCTGCTCCACCTCAGTTGCAGTTTGATTGCCTGACTTCTTTGAGCTAGCGCATGATCGATCGAGCTCCTCTGTTTGCATCCCAGACACCGCCCAACTGCGCAATATCTCGGGGACTGCGGCCTGACATTTGCTGAGTGCAGTCGCTGTTGCGCGTGCCGGTCAGTAGGCCTTTTGCATCCCGTTGCCCCGGGTCGGCGGCAGCTTTCAGTAGCAAGCCACACATCTCATCCTGTCTAAGACCAGGGCATCGGCAACAAGGCAAGACATGTGCCTCATGATGGATGGCAGCGTAGTGCAACGCAGTTGACCCGCAGGCGTCGCAGAGAGTCACGTCCGCCTCGCTGTGACGGGCCTTACCTTTTGGAATTCAAGCATGAGGTGGGCTGCAAAAGTTGCACTAGGAACGGAATGGGGGGTATTCCGCAAGTAAGGGGTATGCCGCAGGAAAGTATTGACTGAATGTTAAAAATGTGTTTTGATGACCGGCCCTCGAAATGAAACGACTGGCGACACGAAAACTGTGCAGGCAACAGGTACATTCAAGTGCCCACTTGGCGAAGCTAGGCCCAAAGTCATGCGCGCACTGCAGACAAAGCATGCAAACACGGAAATTGTGGGAAAAGCCGGTGGCACAGCGGAAATAAACGCTTGTAACAAATGAGGCACTATGCATAGCATGTCAGCATTACATGGATCATCCATGGCAAACACCTTGAAAGCACACCCCCATGCCAGCACGAGATCAACCACTACTTACAGACGTGATGACAAACCCTAGCCTGTCAAAACAAACCCATCGAGGACTACAACTCGAGATGGCATCAGAAACGCCTGGGCATCAGGGATCGATGTGACTTCTTCCGCGGGAAACAACTCAGTTGGCAGTCCTACCTGCGGGCATTACCCTTTTACGTTGCCATAAGCCCAAGGCCTGTAACGGCCGCGGTATGAATGTGAAACTGACACTCTCACTCTGCATCAGGTTCGGCTTGGTGTCGTCACTCTTCGATAGGATTGTCTTTTTCTGCTTCTTCATCTTCACTACTCTCGTAGCCCGACAGGGTCTCCCCCGTATGTAAGTTGATCCCGATCTCCGCCATCTGTCGCCATGCCACGTCATCGTCCCAGTCTTCACTCTCTGCCTGTTCAGCTTGGCCGTCACACAGACTTTTGATGAAGTCCTTCAGGAAACATCCGATCTGGAACATCACGTAGGTGGTGCATGCAATCATTATCAGCAATAGTTTGTCATTCCTGAAGGAAGTGCTCATGACGTAGGTGAGGCCATAGGTCTCTTCAGCACTACAAATCATGTCCTTGTAGTAGGTCCGGTTCACGCTGTGGTGGTCCACAGCGCAAACGTCTTTCGCGTTGGAAGATGTAAACATAGTGGTGACCAAAAGAACTCGTGTCCATGCTGCCGCTGATCTCGTAGCTGCACTTGAAACTACTGGCTGTTCCTTGAGATTCTCCAATCCTGCTCATTAAAGTCGGTGCGACGTGGTAGCTGTCGTAGTTCGATGGCACGTCCCTCGTTGGTGAACTCGAAAGTGCCACTTGTTGGAAGTCGTAGTAGCTGCCGTGGAGGTCCAACAAACTTCTTGGTCAAACCGTCGGCCACCATTGACGCCGTAGGAATTAGAAGGAGATACCTCATCTTGCCTAGCGTCCTTGGTCCTCCCTTCTGTCCTGTCGCCAGCTCAAAGAAATCCTTGCAGTCAGCCGCATGACCGATAGGTATCACCCATCGTCCTTGTTGTTGAATGGCGATAAGGCTTCGGCGCCCCACTGAGCTGTCTCTTTGCCGTTGCAAGCAAAGGGTCTCTGCGTGCGATGTTGACGTACCCACCCGCTTGGCTTTGGCGCAAGCTCCATGAAGCACATGTCCTCTACCAGAAAGAAGTAGCGCCTCGTAGTCATCGACCACATGAGCCGTCGTAGATGGTTTATGCATCTTGTCCTCCGTCAGCATGATGACCACTTTCTCGTGGGCGAGGCTGGAATCTGCTTTGGTGAGAAGCCGTAGTGGCGGCTGAAGTCGTCGAAAGTAGAGACCACAGACGTCTGCATACTGCTACACAGCCAAAGCAATGCGCCCAACACAGCTCTGAACTTCGTGTGATCCAGAGAATTGCACCGCGCTTCGTCAGGCTGGTTCTGATCAAAATCCATGGGCGTAAGCTTCTTACAGAACTCGTCGCGGCGATCTTATAGCCATCTTTGGTGCAACTGTATCTCTGCCCGGTGTGCGTGAAAGGAAGGCACACTTTGGCTGTCTTGCCAAACTTCTTGCAGAGCTTCTTGCGGGTTGTGTCCAACCACTCCTTGTCGGAGGCCACACCTTGGTCATCAACGTGAGCAGTAGCCAGAGCTCGAACTTGACCGTCTGGCCAAAACCACATCAGAAAGCACTCATCAAAATGAGATTGTTGTCCTTGTCGGTCTGCCACAGCGAAGTCCAAAAGACAAATTTGCCGTCCCAACGGTGCGTCCACAAGACCATACATGGCTTTCAGGGCTTCGAGAAACCACAGGTCAATCTTGCCCAGGTTGATCTTCAGGTCATTGCTTAAGTCGCCGAAATGGCGCCAAACGTTGGGGGGTGGCTGAATGCATACCTTGCAACGTGGCATATCGATGCCTTTGCTGCGCAACCGGTCAGCCATCTTTTCGAAGCTGTAGCCTTTCAAGAAAGCTCCACTGATATCCCACGACTGAAGTTCCAGATCCAGCAACGCCGCTAAGGATACCAACAATGGTTGGCTGAGTCTGGTTGCCGTGGTGAAGCGTGTTGGAAGGATGCCCTTCATGGTGTCGAAACATCCTCGTGCACAGAAGCGACTTTTCATAACCACTTCTCCGGATGCAAGCTTCTTCCATTTTCGCACCCAAACACCGTCCACCATGACTTCTTCGCCCGTCATAGCGCCCACATGCTTCTTCCTGAAGATTCGCTCAGCTTCAACTCCTTGCGGTCTGCTTCCTCCACCAAATCCCAATGTTTGTAGATCTCTTCTTCAGTGAGATTGTCCGTCTCCTTGTCCACGCGATAACACTTGCCGGTCACCAAACACATGTAGATGTCGCCCGTCTCGGTGCCAGGCATAGAGAACGCGTAGGCAGGCTTCTCTCTCTCTGGTGAAGGAAAATGGTCGAGACACTCGTCCAACGCCTTACGACAAGCAGTTTCCTGGTGTTGGTAGTGCACGTAGAGCAACCGTCTTTCTTCTACACCAATTAAATCACTTCTTTGCGTCTCCGGAATGACTTGGTGGAACATCATCGGTGTGAACCAATTGCTGGTGATAGACATGAAAGTCGTGATCTGAGTAGGGAACCGTGTCATCCGTGGCTGCGTCGGTGTCGGCTGTTGTCTTTGTTCCAATGTCCCGGCGTCTGCGATTGGTACTGGTTGTCCTCGCGCTCCACGACCCACTCCTGATGGTGCAGCATCTGGGTCATAGGCTGATGAACCTGACAAAGGAGTCTTACCGGTCTCTTTGTTGGTAATGACCCATCCACGCCGTGATCATTCCTCATGTCGTGAGCACCCACCGACTCCCTACTACTTTTGATCTCATGTCGTGATCAGTTGCTGGTGGATGTGCAGGCGCTTGCGACTCAGATGGTGGTGAAGCTTGAGGCGTCACTTGCTGAGGCATCGGTAGATCTTCGTCAATCTTGCCTGGTACTCACTGTCGTAAAGGTTAGAACACCATGGTTCCCATGTTGCTCCATTGTCCTGGGAGTTCGTGAGGTTCCACGTGAGCACATTCACCTATGTAGAGCCCATCGGAATTGGTACTCGTGGGAGACCCGCTCTTATTGCGGCATGATGCATAAGGTTCCACAAATGCATGGTGCCGTTCTGCAGCTCTGGAGGGACATAGTGCAGAACGTTGTTCTTGTCCAGCAGCTGGCCAATGGTGTAGCACTTGGCGGTCGTCCGTGTGGACACATAGGTCAGCAGTTTGATGCTTACGGATGTGTCGCAGAGGTACGGTGTGTGGTGTTCCTTGATATCTCACCACAGCCGTTCCTCCAGAAGCGTCAATCTCAAGTAGAGCTGCCGGTCCTCGCCAACCAGAGATGCCCTTCTTCTCCGGCGTCTTGCGCAGATCCACTTCGGCTGTGCCCGGAATGAACTCTTGAAGCTTCTGTTGCTGGGGTCGCACTGCTTGCGCTCGTGCGAGTCGAGTCTCTGCCACTGCCTGGTGAATGCTCATCAGGGCAATGTGTCTTACTCGCAGCGCCTGCTACCATCCAGAGAGGTCCGTGTGGTCCTCGAACTCGAACATGCTGCGTGGGTTACTTCCCAACACTGCTTGCGATGGTGTGTCTCCTCCATAGGACAGCACCAAGTTGTGCGCCGTTGCTGCCTCGGATGCAGTTTCGTTCTTGGTGACGTGAACGAGTCCTTGGCGTCTCAACTCGGCTTCCATCTTGAGCACGCTGATCTTCATGAGGTCGACGTGCTTTTCGATGAGACCGGTGCCTGTCTTTTGTTCTCCAGCGCTTCGTGGTCGGGAGATGCTCAAACGGTCGCACTCCGCAGCAAACTCCTCCGCCATGAAACCCGTTCTTGGTCAACTGCGATGCTCCGAGGATGCCCAAAGTAACGCGCAGCAAGGTCTTGATGATGCTCCCCGCATCTTTACTTCCGAGGACCTCAGCGACCTTGTACCTGGTGGCCTCATCCATGAAGACAATAAACTGCTTGTCCCACAGATAGAACAGGTCAAAGAACAGGTTGTGATTGAAGAAACCGGCCATCTCTGTGCGCAGACAAGGCTTGGTGAGTGGTCGCGAGTACATGCGACAAATGCGGCACTCCTTGAAATGAGCTTGACACACTGCTGAGGAATAGCCGTCTTGTTGAGCATGTTGGTGAGGTCCTTTGTGGTGGCGTGCCAGAAACGCTGGAAAACGCCCAAGAGTAACCGCTTGGCCTCGTGTGTCTCTGCCCTGAGCTTCTCGACCACTTTGCTCATGTCGTAGGACGGCTTCATGTTGGTAGAAACCGTCTGTGGTTCTTCCGTGTTCGGCGCTTCCACGTTTGTCGTTCTCCGGGAACCAGGCTATGCTCCAGATTGTTGAAATCCGGATCCATTCTAGCACTGGAGCACTTCTCGCACATGTAGTAGACGCCCTTCATCATATAAGCATAGTTGTCCGTGACCATGGAGATGTCCTTGACCAGAGCCTTACACAAACCATGCGGATAAACTGCTGCCATAGCGGTGCGTGGTCCTGGTGATGATGGAGCTCGACCATCGTGTAGACCGGTGTGGCATCGACGACACGATGCCCGCAGCTTGAGGCTGCCGTCAAACCATGTCCCCTTTTCCACTGGCTCACCGGTCTCAATTACTGCGCCGTGTCGACACTGATCTAGGATGGCGCTACCGACTGGTGTCTCGATCAGGTAGTAGCAATCAATGCTTCACTGATTGCTCTCTACACTTGTCGTGTAGCCAAAGAAGCCAAGGTCTCTCGGTTCTGCGTTCAGCTTCTCGAGAAACAACACCCAGCCCTTGTCCAGAACTTGCAATCCGGGGCGACGAAGAGAACCTTGATCGCTTTCTTCCTCGTTGCCTCATCCAGGAGAGCTCGGTGAGGTGGCTCGCGAAGATCCCAATCATGTCTCGCATCGATAAATCCTCAAACCGGCTCTCTCGGCGGCAAGGCTAAGTCGGCCGGATCCGCTGCACCATTCCCAGAAGTCCCAAGGACTGTCGTCCATTTCCTTGATGTAGTCGAGGAAATTGCTTGGGTTGACAACCTCCAGCTTCGTCTTCTGATAGAATTGCTCCGGCATAGCCCTGTAGCGTCTGGCAAACTCCACCTGGTCGCCTGGAGATAGATGAAGCAGATCATCTCCAGGCTATACCTCAGGCCGAAGGAAACTCTTTCCATGTTTGGTGATCTGGTAAGGCGTGGAAGGTGTCCGATGTCGTTGTGCTGATCGGCTCTTGTGAAACAGCCGGTGTGACTGCAGCTGCTCCAGAAGTCACAGAGCATGCCACCATGCAAGCCATCATCGCAGCTGAGCGTGAACTCGTTGATCATCACAGCGACTGGTGGTCTCTGACCTGGTAACCGGTTCCAGACAGCCGCAGCAGAGCTTGGTAAGACTTGTGGAGTTCTGCGCAGTGGATGTCGCTTCTTCTTTCTCACTCTGCATCGGCTCCGGTTGGGTCGCCACATACGCCTTCTTGATGCGAGGGTGCAAATCCTGCAAGGACATAGCTGTTGCTGCTTCCTGTGTCGCCTGATTCGCCACAGTACAGTTCCTTCTGTCAGAGCCTGCGCGTCTGCTGGCAAACAACAAGTGGTGTCCAGTGTCTGTCAAAGAAACTCTGAAATAGTGCTTCTTCACCTGCTCATCATTCTCGGAGTGTACGATGAGCACAGAGTTGTTGTTGGCAAAGAAGCCCGTCAGCAAAGAAGCCCGTCAGCAAAGCCATCGAAAACTTTACCATTGACGGCGAAGGCATCAAACCAGGGCACATAGAGGCACCGCCTCCCAGAACGTCTGCAGTGAAAGTTGCAGGCATGCTCAAACCCAAAGGGAAAGTCACCTGAGTGACGCACGGATCTGGTTGGTGTGAGATGCCGGACACTGAAGACTGTTTGGTGCACAGGACACATCTGGTAGTAGCCCGCGGCTCGAGGTTGCAGGATGTGCTCGAAGAGCATCTTCAAGGTGTCAGACGCTATGATGCTGCTGGCAGCACCGGGTCAATCAGGCAGACCAAACTGCTTCCTGCCCTGTACCATATGAAACATACCAGCATGCGGGCGTGCAGGCAGTCGTGGAAGCCGTACTTCAGGCACGCGAAAGGTCATCCAAAGAAGTGTTGAGGACCTCGAACTGGTGGCTCCTCACCTGAGGTGAGGTGGTCTCGGTCGACTGGGCTTGTGGTGAACCAGCTCTGTTTCTGCGACTTCCCCTTGCCCTTGTCATACCGCTTGTGGTAGTCACGAAACATGCTCTTTCCACCGTAGCTGCCACCTCGCCCAAAGCTTGGATAGGGACGTTTGCCCTTCTTGCCCTTGTCATACCATTTTCCTCGTCCTTTCCACGACCATAGCCCAGAGCGTCCGACAGTGCTGCTGACCTTCTGTGCCTTTTCCACCAGCATGTATAGGGCAATCTGCACTGGAGTGCCACCTGCTTCCACAGGCCACACACCCAGTGCCAAGGCTGCTACCTTTGGGCGAGCTCTTGAACGCCTTTGGACTTGCCCTTCCAGTAGCTCTCCAAGATTCCGTCCAAACCCACCGGGGCGTTCCCAATGACCTGCTCATAGCCCTCTTCTTTCGTGTCCTCAGTGGGCCGTTCAGACCACTCCGCATTGTCTTCATCAACCAGCTCTTGCCCTGGTAGTAGTAGTCTGCATCGTACCCTTCATAGTCATAGGCCCCTGTCGCCATCCTGGTAGTAGTGATCGAGCTCCTTGATCTGCGTGAAGTTGTTCTCATGAGCCAGACTTTCACGTTCGCGATTGTTGCTGCGAGAGATCTTCAGAATGAGAGTCCTCACGTGCTGGTACTGTGACATGCACCTGGCATTGAACTCAACATCGATTTCCTGGATCGTGAGAGATCCGCGCTGGAAGGTGAAAAAGTTATCCAGCGCCACGGTCACCTTGTCGGTCTCCTGCAAGCCGTAGATGTCCTGCAAGGTGCTGCACAGCTTCTGCAGTCCACTAGGAAATGGCAGGGCGCAGCTCTTGGCCTGTTTGCGGATCCAGCACAGCCGGCTCATCGCCTGCGTCGACTCCTGGCCCGCGTGGATCACCCCAAGGCCGGTCTAGGCGGCGCCGCCGAGACGAGCCGCCACCAAGGGGCCAACCTGCACAAAGCACATCTTGATGGGCTAGTTGTGCACGTTGGGCTTCCAACCCGGCGGCACCGCCTGAGGGCACCCTGACCGTCTCTTCGTGGTGAACAAAATGCTCGAAGACGGTGTCGTAGAGCGGGCCCGTTCACCGCTTGCGCCTGCACGGCGCTGAAGGACCCCGCGAATGGCTCCGCTGCCAGAGTTGGCAGTCCTACCTGCGGGCATTACCCTTTTACGTTGCCATAAGCTCCAGGCCTGCAACGGCCGCGGTATGAATGTGAAACTGATACGCTCACTAACTCAAACAGGTGGCTGGCAGCAATCCTTTTGACCATGGCTTTTGACCATGGCATTGTTTCGAGCCATGGTCCCTGACCTGGGAATTTGGCGAGACCCCATTTCCCTTCGCAATGTGGCCCATGGGCCCTGTGTCACCCCCACAGAAGATGACAGATATACAGTAGGTGACTGACGTTACCTGTCCCTGTGCTTGCCTGGGCAGTGAGAAGGCACTTGGCCAACTCTGTCCAGCCATTCATCGCACAGCACCTGCATGCGGAGCTTTGAGCAGGGCAACTCGGCATCGCATGGATACCCAAACCGATGGAACACGGGCATTCAGCGAAGGCCCGTAGAAAAAATAAACAAATCATTGAAGCATGTATGCTCTGAGCTTCAGGCATCAGGGGCAGCTGCGGAGGCCCTAGCAAGGACAAACTTTGTTCAAACTAAGGGCAAACGCGCTCTCCTTCTCCTCTTGCACCATTCGCATCCGCGCCGGCGATGAGGAGTTGCTTCACCTTGGCATTTAGCGCTTCCTGGGAGGACGTATCTCTGCTATGCCGGACACCCGTCTTTGAAGAGCCGGCTCATAGACTGCCCGCCTGAGACTGCTGCAAAAGCATCACGAGGCACAGGCCGAAGGTAAACTGCCCACCCCACTCACATCACCAACTGGAAGTGAGGGTTCTCGGAAACATCCTAAGGAACAGTGTCCAAGGAATTGGCAACGACCCCTAGCCCACGACAATAACAATTTCCTCAGGTCGGAATCTGAGACCACCACGCTTGAGCTACAGAGCAAATGGAGGGCCATCTGGCAACTCTGCATCGGTTCCCGCTGCTTGCGCCATGCACAACGCCGTGCGGCCCTCACCTTGTCAGGCTGTCTGGCAGCTCCCCTGTCATGGCCGAGTCAACTGCACTCAAAGAGAAATGCTCTTCGGAAGACTTTCCCTTTCCGTGTGGCCTGCACCAACCTTCGAGACTTCTCCGATGGCCTCTGCCTAGAGGCAGGTGGAGCTCGCATCCCATGCGGCGGCGCGAGCTCAGGTTGCCACGTCCGCGCAGAGTAGCAGCCGTGTGAAGTCGTAGGACCAAGGCTCGGCCAGGAGGGCCGCCAGAGCTGCCGTAGCGACACGCGTCCTGCGATGACGCTGGTTTAGTAGTCGATATTTGTTTTCTTGGGATTGCTGGACTTCCAGGACGTGTTGAACACCATGGGTACATTTGTCGGACAGGGTGCCGGACTGGCTGATGATTGCTTCACTTGGGGTATCCAAGTGGCTCTGGCAATTCCTTTGATGCACATGTGCGGATGACGAAGGATGAAACTGGATGCCAAGAAAGCCTTTCTCATGACTCCCCAGCCTTGCTTCATCAGATGCCTGGTGCAAAAGACCTCAATACAAGGTTCAAGCTGCTGAGCCTCATGACTCATGACACTCATGACATCCTGCGTTTTGACAGGGCTCCAGCACTGCATTTGTCGCTCGCCATCCTGCACCAGTTCCGAATGAAGTGGCAGCTTTCATGTGCCTAGTGATTTTTGGGCTGTCCTGTGTTAGCAATTTGGCTGCTGAGGCCATGCTTGCAATGAATTGGGGGTCCTTATGGCATTGCGATGAGCAGTGGCAAGTGGTCAAAGCATCCAAGCAAAGCACATCGGGCGCATCGGCCATGCGTGCGCGGGCCGATGATAGGCCAAAGCTTGAGCATCATTGGCATGGCCCACCAGGCCTCCCCCACCTCCCCCCAAGCATGGACTGCCGCGTGAAGGTCAGCCTGCAGAACGGGCTTTTCCTCGAGGCCTCCCAGATCCCCAGGCTGACTCGCCACTACGGGCACGGAGATAGCTTGGGGGACCTCAAGCTGAATCGCTCAAGGAGCACAAGGAGCACAAGGAGCACAGAAAGAAGGAGTCAAAGGCCCATGGCATGCCTGGGCCCCGTGCAAGTATGAGGCCAGGCTTCGAACGCCAACCTGAGCACAAATGGTCATCTTTCCACCCATGCCGCGGCTTGCGCAAAATGCAGCATTTGCATCCAGCAAACATCATGACACACATGCGGTCTGCAGCATTTTGAATGCTCTCGCGGCCCCGTTAGGGCACTCTTTGGCGGTGAGGCACACCATGGGGATAGTGGATTGGCCGCCAAACGTAAGATCAGTAGCCTTCGTTGGACCAATCAACCTGCAAATCAACAATTACATCAGCTTGCTCTGAAACCGATGCCTTGAGGTGTGGCAAGGGCTTTGTAGAAACTCCGACATCTCGTCTCCCTTGCAACCAGAACAATGCACCTTGCCTGGTATCCCTGAAAATGGCCGCGACAAACCTGAGCATCGTCTTGCGAGGAGCGACGCACTTGGGACTTTAAACGCCGGTCGTGCACTTCCGCATCCGTGCGCGCCTCTGCAGTGATCTCATGCCCAGCTCCCTTGACCCAAGGAAAGCCATAAGAGAAGCCGTAGATCTTGAGGACGCCCCTCCGCTTTGAAAACTTGTGCAACTCGTCACGCGAAAACAAGCGAAGTCACAAAGGCGTTGGGCACGGCCAGCCTTTGTGCATCGTGCAGAATCCGACCGCCGCCCAGAACTTCTACTTCAAAGCCCTGCTGCAGGTAGGAGCGCATGTAAGGCATGGCCACATCCTTGTGGTATGCCTGGTCACACTTGCCAATGCCTCTGCCGATGAGATCTGCAGTTCAAGCCGCTATGGCTCTCATTGTGTCTTGTCCACTTTCGTCATTTGAGTTGGCCATCAGCATGCATGCAAAAGCGCGTAAACGCAGCCAACGCTGCAGCCCCGTCCGTGCCACGCACTAGGTATTTGGACTCCCCTGTCTTGGCAGTAACCCGCATCAAAACCTGGCATCTGACAGAGTCAGCGGTTGATGCATCATGACAGTGTCCAGCTTCGCCTAAATTAACCATGCCAAGCACACATATTTGAAGGTGCCATCGTCAATGATCACGTCCGGAATTGCTTTTAGAGCAGCTGCCTCAACTTTCTTTGGACACATTGAAACCCATTCAGCGTACAACATGCCCAGGTCATGGCCTCCCCCTGATTCAGCCCAAGCATCAGCAGCTGTGGCATCAACTTCCCCCTCTTCTCTCATCTGCCTTGCTTTCTCCAGGTCATCCTCGGCAAGCAGACTGCTCCTCACCTCTTTTTGAAGCCTGACTCATCCCAATACGGTGGCTAAACAACCAAGCGTCTGCATTGGTAGTAGGGCCATCACACTCGCCCGCCATCGCTGTCGCAGCAGCCGGAGCTGAGAACCTTGCATCTAAGGTCTATCTTGCGAATCCCGACATTCATCCAGCCATGGTGCATGCGAAGGCTGCCCAGGACCAATGTGGCCCTGCTTGGGTTGAGACCTCAATCGCGCACAAAAGGCACCCAATTCGGCAAAGAAAAGTGCGAAGGCCTGCGCAAATGAAAGGCACCCACCACCCACCAAACCGAACGCCCTCTCCAACACACGAGCAATGCGGCGGCAAAAGCCCTGCCAGCAGCCAGGATGCGTCCCGGCACCCAATGGCAAAGAGCGACAGACCCGGCCCGAGACCTAAGGCGCAAGCGCAGGCTCAAAGGTCTAATGATCAATAGCAAGTTCATTGCTTTCTATCAACTGTCAGCACATATTGCTTACGCTCAGCCAGGCACAGGGCAAAACAGGTGACGGCAAGGCGTAGTCCCGCAAAGCCTCCTTTTCTCATGGCTACCTACAGGCTGGAGCCAAAGCAACGCGACCAGCAACCTGCCGCCGCACCCGATGTCGGAAACCTGATTTCTGGTCTCTTGGGCAGTGGCGGCTGGGCTAGAAACCTGCAAAAAAGGAACCGCGCCGCAACCACCAGAAAAACTGCAAACAGCGGCCACTTTCCGCTTTAGCGAGCCAGCCTGCATGGGGATGCCAGCGCAGGGCGGGTCGCCACTCGGAAGACCAGGCCAAGTCACCACCTGTCCAATGGGAGGTGCGATCTGTCCAAAGGCGGCTCCAAAGCCTGCCTTGCCAGCCTTCAAGTCAGGAGCTGTGCGCACACGAGGCAACCCTTGGCTCTCCTGTGCCGAAATGGATTACGACACAATACATAACTGTTGCATTGGCCTTCACGGGGCCAAGCTGATAGATCTCCCCCTTGCTGTTGCCTGCCGAGCACCAGAGCGCATCCGATGGCCAAATGACTGCCCACCGCGCTTGCATGAGCAAATCCAGCACCCGTCGCGAGCCAAATGCAGCAGATTCACATTGCAGCAGCGGCCGAGGAGGAATCAGGTGCGGCGCTGGCCCTCGCGACTCTCAAGACCCTCCTCTACCGCACTTGGCTTTTGGTCACAAATGATTCCTCCAAACTCTCAGGGCCACATGCTTGAAACATGGCCATGCTTAACCTGCCTTGCGCCGGCGTCTGGCGCCAGCAGGACGAACCTGCATAGTGATTGTGAGGCCTTGTGAAAACAACATAAAACGGGCCTGCCTTGCAAGGTTCCCACTTTGCTCAAGCTTGCGGTCCAGGTTGCCCGGAAGACTTCGCTGGGCAATACAAACGTCTTGTCCTTACGGCGTGCACACGGCCAAGCACCGCGAGCTCAGCCCTGAGGCTCGGTCTGGCTCCTGGAAGCCTGGAGGCACCTGCGCCACGCAGCGCCACGCGCCACATACACAAAGCGATCCAGGCGGTTTTGCGTGCCTTGGCCGTCAGGTTCGGGTGGGCCCGCCGGAAGTTGGCCCGCTGGGTCTGCGGCGAGTCCGGAATAGCTGTCTGCGAACACATGCCTACTCCAGCAGCCTGCCGCTCCTTGACCAAAGAGCTCTTTTGAATATCAAGCCATTGATGTGGTGGAAACCTCAAGCCTCAGATTCAGCGAGTCCACAGCAATAGGGTCCACAGTGCGGGATTGGCTATTGTAGTCCTTCCTACCATCTGCCTCTGCGGCTTTTGCCGCTTGGGTTCCAGTCAAGCATTCGCAGCTCACAGCACTTGGGACTGCGCTGTTCTTGGCTTGCGTGGTCATCTTGCCCCTGAAGTCAAGCGTATGACGTGCACAGGACAGCCGCCAGCCACGCCTGGGCCACCTTTGGTGGACGGGGGCATCCTGTGCGCCCTTGAGCCAATATTCGACCCAATTTCGGAGAGGGCCCAATCGTCCGGATGCCTGGTATCCAAATAGCACTGTACGGAGTTCACAGCACATGCCCAAAAAGCTTTCATGGTTTCTGGAGCGGAACCCACCACAAGACGAAGGAGCAGAGTGCCAGGAAAACAGGAAAGGAAACTTGGCTGTCCCGCGCTGGCGTTTCTCCCTGGTTTTGCGAAGGTCGAGGTTTATGTTGATAACTTCTCCCCAGAGGGCTTCCACCATCTGCTTGCACCTGGCCCCACCCATCTTTTGACAGCTCGGGCTGCTGGCGGCGGAAGGTCTATGCACTCTCTGAGGGCAGGGCACCAAGCCCTGCACAATGATCATGAAAAGGGGGCATAAACTTTACAGAAGCCAATGTCCTCATCTCCAGATTTACCAAATATCCCAGCCCACGGACAACCTTGCAGGAGCATTGGCCAAACAAGAACAGCAAGGGAGGCAAGGCCTGTGACGGGTCATTCGTCACTGTGCAGGAGCGTTTTGCCCCGCTCTCAGTTGTATTATCTGTGTGTACTGTCGATCTGCTATTACAGCGGCATTGTAACCACAACATCCTGGATCGCCATTGAATCAACTGACCAGACCTACGTAGGATAAGCCTGGATAAACTTGCAACTCGCAACCATAGTGGCGACCCTCCCGTGAGCAGTGCGCTCAAAGACGTTTTTTTGCATGGGCACCCTGCGGTCTTTGGGATACCCCTGATAACTCGGCCGGTTCTTCCCGTTCCGGGACCCTCGAATTCATGAGAAGAGAGAAGGGATGAGACAGCACTCTTAGTGCTTCTTGCTGGGCGATTGCCCAAAAACACCTTTGGCCAACTAAAAGGGCCAAACAAATCGCTGCAAACAGAATGTCGCAAAAGAAAACAGAGTTTGCTGCGTTTTGGAGGCAAACTGCTCAATCCGTAGCAGGTGTTCTCTCCCTGAAACTGGAATGGCAACTGCAAACCGTGTCATTTGCAGGCCCGGGAAACCCATTTGCATGGCTACGCCGATTCCAGCTGCTTCTTCGCCTCCAGGGCAGTAGTACCCCGAGCTGTGGCGGCAGAGCTGGTGAACTCACCTGGGCGACGCTTTGCCTTTCATGGGCATTGACCCACGCAACTGGGAAATCACAAAAAAAACCTCCTTTGCCCGTTTTCCCCACCGAGGTAGACAGAGCTCTGCCCAAAAAGCGCGGTGCCCAATGTGTGGGGTCAACAGTTCATGTGCCATCGAGTTGCTCATGCTGAGGGTTTTTCTCAGGACATCCTTCTGTCCTTCGCTCTTGAGCTTCTTGACGATGCCAACCCTGACAAGAAGGATGGGTGGCGTGCGGAAGCCAACAGGCCGTAAGGGCACCTGTGCTGCCAACTCAGCCAAGCAACAACAAAGACCAGCCCAACTCACGATTGTCGTTGGCGCTGACAAAATTCGCGATCGGCTTGAGCACAACCTGTCACTGCACAAGAATTCCACCACCTACTTCTGTTGGCCCTGGTGGTGATGCAATTTGCGAAACATATCGCAATTGCTCACCGAGTGGCTGGGTTGAACGCATCCTGCAGCATGAGGAGGCGTGCAATCAAACAATGCAACATAACATCTGCGTGGGGTGCATCCATCCTCAGCTAAACAGCATGGCACTACTTTCATCCATGGAGAGCATACAATACTGAACCGAACAGCCATTTCAGACTGACAGCTGGACAGTTTGAGCAAAACCTCAAGCTCCTCCAGAATCTGGACAATCTAAGCTTAAGTTTTCAAGAACACCAAGGAAGCCAAAACCATCCTAAACAATATTCAAATCAGGTTGCGGTGCGTAGTGGTTTAAAGCATCTAAGCACTCAAGCTGTCCCAAAGAGTTAAATCTTTGTCGGGCTTTGTTCGCTAGGCTGCCTGCGTAATTATTGAATGAGCAGCACAGGAAGCTTGTCAAGCTTTTGTGGGCATAGTTGTTCCAGTTCTTGCACCATGATACGTCCCCAAGCATACGGCTTTCCCAAAGCTAATACCTTGCCTGGCCTGCAAAACTGCGAAGCTCATGATATAGCGTGACCAGCTGCGAAGACTGCGTAACGAGCAAATGATCTAACATGTAGAAAGTCCAACAACCCGCTGCCTGCGTCCTTCCTGGAAATGCTGAATAAGAGAATGTGTCCAACGTGCTACCTCATTATGAGCTTCAACCTGTTTAAGGTGAGAGGAATGCTCAACTAAGACGCAGACACATTGGCATGCAAGCGTGGACCACGTCGCTAGGGCTTAACTTGGAAGAGCCAGGGCAGCCGACTGAGAAAAGACTTCGGGGGAGATGATCTATTGCCCCCTCACGGTAGAAACACCTGAACAATGAAATACATTTTAAGCCGCATGAGCTCACATGCTTCACCATGAACATTTGCCTGGTAGCTGTCAATCAGCAAATTGCGTAGAGCACTGCACGCTGGCATCAGGGTCCGAAAGGAAACGCGAGTTCTGTTCTTTCCACACACCCAAAACCATCAGGGCCACAAAGCCAGTGCAGGCAAAGAATCTTCATCTCGGGCAAAGTGGACACGGATGATGCGAGACACTCCTTCATGGTCTCCCACTGCACTAACCGTCTCTTGACGAGCTCCGCGAGGGTCATGGCCACGGTGTCTGATTTCCGCTCATCCTGGGTGAGCGTTGCGCTAAGCGACTACAAAAGCATCCAGCCGTGCGCCTGCCCTGCTTGCAGCCCAGTGTCGTCGAAGCCCACCTCCAGCAGCCACTCAACGCCTGGATTTTCAGTGGCTAACCCGTGCTAACCGGACAGTGACAGAAATGCAAAAGATTAGAACACTGCTTGATGCATTCAAGCTGCCCTGCTTTGCTTCTTGAGCAGTTGGAGAAGCCTTTCTCCAGTCATTTTCGAGAGAGTCTCCATCCTTCTCCTCTCCAAAGTACTGGCAACACTTCCTGAGTGAGAGTTTGTCACAACTGCGGGACACACAAAAAGCAACTCTCCTCTCGAAAGTGTTTGGCTTCATCAGCCCAAGTCTCTTGACATGGGCCTTGGTAAAGCTGATCTTCTGCGGGGCTGCTTCAGCCTTGGTCTTCTTCTTCTGGGAAGCGAACTCCTTGGCCGATCATGTGCAAAGGTCTCGATAAAAGCGACTTCTTCCCATGCAGCACCCGGAGCACCCTTGCCATTTTCCAAAGATCGGCAAAGTTGCATCGATGTATGCTGGCCGAACACCAACCGTCTGGACGGAGAACATATCTCAGCCAACGAGCACGCACAAGCAGCCCAGAAAGCCCTAAGCGTCCCCCAAACTGCCCACAAACGCTTTGGGCAGGTGGCAAGGCTTCTGCTTCTGTATCAACATGCCAAGGCACTGTCTGGCCCAGTATTTCGGCCATGGCTGCGGGCATCTCGTTCAAACTCATCCTTCACCGCTTGCTTGGTCTTTGCCTGCTCCTTGAAAAGCTTCTTCCTCAGTCAGAGATCGCGGACTGCGATGACTGCACACAGCTACCTGCAGCCATGTCACTGCCACTTGTTCTTTCGCAGGTCCAGCAAAGACTCAATCCTCAGGGGCTGACATTCAAGCAAAGCAGCCATCACCCAAGGCACGATTCGCAGTGCAAAGCAAGCTGGACATCAATGCTGCCATGCATCGAGAACTGAATGCCTGAGCACTGTTTGGCATTTGGCTGAGGGCAGCACAATCGACAAGCTTGCGCTCAGAAAAGTGCTGCAAGTTTTAAGCCAAGCTTCGCTTGCTAAATGCTGACTTGCCGTTCACCTTGATACCGGCAATATCCTTCAGTCTCGAGGCAAAGGAGTTCATCAAAGACTCGCCTTGCGGCGTCTCCTTAGTCAGTGCTCCCCAAAAGGCAAAGCGCGCCGCAGCACGTCCCCAAACTAAACTTACAACCGAACAAACATGCACGCCAAGCAGCATCCAGGGTGTAGCCAATGGCTTGCAGAAGTTCGCAAACACACTCAATCATGTGCTCTTCAGGCTGTGAGTTGTCCTGCTTGATGCCGACCAGATCATGGACCACCTGGCGTTTCCCCAGGCAGACGACAAGCATATCTCCTTCAGCCATTTCCATCTCCAGGCATCTCCTTGCCTCCGAGCCCTGTACCCAAAGAGCCAAACACTTCCCCCCACGCGTGCCCCTGCCTGGCCGATGACCTTCACGGCGAGCAGCTGGCGCAGGAAGAGGTTGCCAATGAACTTCATGTTGGCCAGCATCCTGTGAAAAACCCCACCAAAGGCAGCACGCAACCATTCAACCAATCCATGCGGAGCGACTAGAACTCTTTGACTTTATGCAAGCAGAGTGGCGGCGCCACACTAGCATTACACATCCAGGACCCGTTTCACTCTTCCCAAATTGCATGCAAGGCACTTGCTCTTCCTTTTCTTCATCTCCATTCCCAAATCCTCTGGGCTAGGAAACTTCGCCCTATCGTCATCCGAAGGCTCAAAGGTCGTGGGTAGGCTCTCAAACTCATTCTGGACTGTGTTGAGCAAAACTCGGGTGAAACTGTGAGGCTTCTCGCCCTCGTTCTCTGGGGGGAACTCCGGGTAGCGTGTGCGCAACGCGAAGACCATGTCTGCATAGGTCTCGCAATAGTGCGGCTCAACCAGCGCTTTCCCGAAGATGATTTTGATCACAAACTCCAGCTCCTCAGCTCTCTTGAGCTCGATGCTGGCAAGGGTGTCGACGATGGTCTTCAAGTTGTCCGGGCAGATCTTGTTCAGCAAGCCTCGGACTCTTCTCTCGAGCTCCTCCATACGAGTGGTGGGCTCTGTAATGCGGTAGGCGTTCTCCGATTGCTTCAGCACCGGCTCCCGGCGTGGCGCCCGGCGGATGTCCGGCTGCCGAGGCCCGGTGCGGCGGATGTCCGGCGTTGGCCGCTCCGTGGGGCGCTCGCCTGTGCCGAGGCCCGACACGGAGGCGTGCACTTCGCTGCGCTGCAGGCGCCAAATCCGAAGCATCAGCTCGCGGTCTAAGGTCTTATTCGCAGGCATCAAGGTCATCCGTGGCTCGTCAGCAATGGGCTGGGGCTCTACCTGAACAGCAATTGGCAGCGGCTTCTCCTCCTTGTTCTCCTTGTTCTCCTTGTTCTCCTTGTTCTCGTGGTCCACTTCGGTGGTCTTTGCCTTGGAGAGGGAGGCATTCTTGAGCTTGAAGCCCTTCTTGCCGGCAGGGGGAGGCGACTGCGCTCCAGCACCAATGGCTGGGGCTGGCGTTGCCTGCGCTGGAGTTGCCTGCGCTGGCGCAGCTGGCAAAGGTGCCGGTGCCGGTGCCGGTGCCGGTGCCGGTGCCGGTGACGGTGCCGGAGCGGGGGCGGCTGGCGTTGGGGTCGGAGCTGGGGCCAGGGCAGGCTTCGCAGCTGGCTGTGGCAGGGTGAGGTCGTCAGGCAGCGGCGAAATGCCAGCCCGAGCTTGGCGGGTTTTGCCGGCCCCAGCATTGGTGGCGGCGCGCATGGGCTCCAAATTCAACGCCTTGATCGCAGAAGCTGCCCCGGTGTTTATAGACCGCCCCGACTGCGCTGCCATGTTGGGAGGCCATCTTTGCACCCGCTCGCTTTCCTTTGGCTCCTCCTTCCGCTCAGGCTCCTCGGCCTCGGCAGCAGGGTTTGCATCGGCCGCGGCGGCGGCGGCGGCTGGTTCTTTCTTGTCCAATTTCTTGTTCTGCAGCCTCAGGCACAGGAAACACATGCTTCAACTTCCTCACATCCGCTTCCTCTCTGCCCTCCCTCTGCCGTACTCATTTTGCCTCAACTCTCCCACTTCGGTGCTGAGTTCGGCACCCCTTACGCTTGGCTGCCGGCTTTGGTGCCGGTGGTTCAGAGGCAGGCTCATCCTCCTTTTCAGCCTGGGAATGGACCCCTGGGCTCCAGACCTTGGGTTGAGCCTGTCTGTTAGCTGAACACAGGCACAGGGACAAGAGCTTCCTAGATTCGGTGAGCCAAGAATTGAAACCTAAGTTTTGCCCGGTTGAGCAACTAGTTGTCAAATGGTGCAAGCTAAACCTGCCGACTTTCAAACTTTGGACGCCTCGCCATGGTCACACATAGTGCATGGAGTTGCCTAAATAGAACTATATATATATATATATGTGTATATACATATATGCATTGCGTGATATAGCATGATAGCCCAAATTATGCTACTTGACTCAAGGCCAGTCCAGTCCATCCTCGTTTGGAAAGCTCCCATGCGTAGCCTAGCATAGCAGTAGCATGCTTGTTGAGTCATTCCAGGGAGTGCTTCTTCTGGCTATAAAAACGGACTCGGGCCCGACGGGGCCAATTCCTGGCAGAGCCGCAGGGCATTACGTTTGCCGTGCCGCTGCCTCTCGGATTCACCAACCCCTGCTGGCCGTGCCGGAAAAATGTCCTAGCTTGCAAGCTCCATGTGAGACAGGTCTCTCAACATGCGTTGTGGGCCTGCCCTAGCAGCTGGAATGACCTGCGGAACAAAGCAAGCAATTCAGCCATAATGTGGTCCGACCAAAATGCCTCAAGCTCTGCAGACAGTGGCTGCGTTGGGACACTCTTGGCACCCCGGGCAAGAAGCGCGGCCAAGCAACCGTGCGTGAGCCTCCGCGCTTGTGCTGCATCTGCGGCTGCGATTGCGGCTGCGATTGCGGCGGCTGCTGCTGCTGCTGCTGCGGCTGCTGCGGCTGCTGCTGCGGCTGCTGCTGCTGCGGTTGCTGCTGTGGCTGTTGCTGGCCGCCCTGAGGCATCGGAAACTGCTGAAACTGCTGGGGCATCATGACGGCATGGCCCTGGTTTTGTCCTGAATTGCTGTTCCCCTCCTGACCACCACAAGCATTCCAATTCGAATGCACCCCCTGGTCCATCATCTGGTTCTGCGGCATGTTCATCAGGACCATGACCTGTGAGCCTCCCATGCCCATGCCACTGGGAGCCATCATGGTTGGCGCCTGCCCCATCTGCTGCATGTTCATAGCATTGCCATCCTGACCCTGCACAAAGCCATAGGCCTGCTGCTGTCCCATGTTGAAGCCTTGCATCTGCTGCGCGTCCACGTAACCGGCCGGGACTGTCTGGCCCTGCATGCCATCACCCTGCCCAAACTGGGCTTGCCCGGGCATCGTCACATAGTAGTACATCATTGGCTGCGCCGGCTGCTGGTTTGACATTGCTCGGCCTAATGCCGTGGCGAGAAGGACCCTCGCCCGAAAAATAAGCCGAAATGAAAGCTACAGCGAAGCCATGGCACAAGCACCGCAAGTTGCACATGCTGCATGTGTCAAGGTAGCATCTAGCATCACATGCAAACCACAGCAATTCAACATGACGCCCATCATTTCACACCCATCCTGAGCCATCCTCGGCCACCCTGATATGGACAGCACTTTGTGCCGAAAAGAATGCTCAGGACTTCAGGACTGCATCTGGCGAAGCCATCCTCGATACTCTAGGGCACCAGCGTTTGAGGTTTGAGGGCAGTAACCAAAAGCAATAATGATCCAAAACTGCGTAGCTGCTTTCCCAAGGGCCACACATGCCGTAGCAATGGAGCATGGTCCCAACTATGGCGCTTGCTTTTTGGCCAAGTCTCTGCAAGTACTCTGCAGCTTCCTCCAACTCTTGCGGTTCCTGCGACTTCATCTTCGACTGAATCCTGGATGGACTCAGCAGTCAAACGGGAACAAGCTTGCCGTGTGCTCGCTTGAGAGCACATGCATGCAACCTGCCAAGGTTTCTCCAGTCCTAGACTTCAACCGACGGGCGCAAAGCGCAGCTGCGACAAGGGCCGCTGCGCAGCCCAGAAGCGCAGCATATGTTGAACCGCTCCATCCACGCACACTGGGAGTGGAAGCCTTTAGCTCGCAAGCCTTGCATGGCGAAGGCGGAGGTGTTGCAAAGCGCGCACATGCTGCACAGCAGGTCACGGAGACGTTGGGACCGTGGTAGGGTTGGGCACACAGTCGAGGGCTTTGCTCAACGCTTTTGCAGAACTCCTTGTTGAGATCGTAGCAGGCAGCCTAAGCTAATGACATCACTTGTCTTCTCAGTGAGGCAAAGTGGCAACATTATAGCAAAGTACTCTTGAGTTGATTGCCCGAGCAGCAGTTTTGTTTTGGGCGCGGCCAGGACACGTCCCATCGATGGAGTCATGGGAGGATGGGCAAAGCTGCACTAAACCACATACCCCAGTATGGGAAAACTCGCCGCAGTTGTAGCCAAAAGCATCTGCATAGTGCAGCTTGTCTTTGTCAACAGCCAGGCTCAGCTCCTCCTCGCTTGAACATTGCACATTGTAGGTGCCATTGGGGTTGGACCCAATTACCACCCAGCCAGGGCATCCCTTGACCTTGTCAAGCTTGTCAACCTTGACCAGGTCGCCAACAACGAAGGGCTCGCTGTCAATGAACTTGCGGCACGCAGCATAGGAAAAGCAATACTTCTCCGGGGGACAGTCGCCATGTGATTGGCATATCCGGCCACGAGCCAAAGGAAGCAAGAGCAGTCCGAAGCTCCACATGGCAGGCCATTGGGCCCGTTGGCTTCAGCACCCGCACATGATTTACACGTCTTCTGCCAAGTGTCTCATGTTACGTACGTCATGTTTTAATCAAGGCCTCCTTTGTCCTCTGTCAGCTGGTGCGCACAAAAAGATGCCAGGGTCAAGCTGCTTGCCAGCAGGCACTCATCGGCTGCAGGCGCGCAGCCATGTATACCCCCCCTTCACAACAGGCTCTGCATGCTGAAGGCGCGACACGCAATCGCACACGGCTCTTGGAACAATGCTTGCGAGCTTTTTTGCGTTGACAGTTAATCTAAAGAGTCCAGTCCAGCGCATGTATTGGAAGATCGGCTTTCGCTGGCACCTGCTTCGGGGATAGAATTACGGACGTGAGCTGCACAGGAGAGATTCTGCATCAAAGCGGTCCGAAAATGTTGCAGCTCTGCCTCCCGGCCGGCACTGCAACCTTGAAACGGCAAAGCAGAACCTGCAACCCTGGCCTCTTCTCAGTGCAGTTAGGGCTCTTCTTCACATTCTCCACTACCCCCGCCAGTCTGTGAGCGATCTCTGCCTCGGCCGGCCATTTGAAGCTGTGCACGAATTGCTCGACAAGCACATCCCAGATCAACCCAGCAAGTGGCAAATGAGGAATCAATGAATCAAGGAGGCAAGCCGCGCTTTGGACTGCCGGAGGCAAGTCATCCAACTCGGCTACAGCCCGCTCCTGAGCCCACATCACAGAAAGCAGAAACCCACTGCCTCTGAATCTAAGGCGTGTTCGAACCTGGAATAGTCCAGAGACCAAGGGTTCACCTTCGGCACCTGGCCGTACGAAGGCTCCCCAAGCAAGATCTGCTCCCAACATGCTCTGCCAACATCCATATAACAGCATGACACGGTGCAGCAAATGCGAGGCATACCTGGTGCGTGGGTGGTGCTGTGGCGCGCTCCTCCCTCTCTTCTTCTTCGATCTGCCTTCCGCGCGCTTTTTTCAAAAAGAATCTGGCCAAGTCCCTTTGACACTTCCGCCTTGCAATAGTGGCAGCGAGGTCGGCGCATAGGTCGTCGGCCCGCTTCTCCGACGCTTCAGCGCAGCAGGACCCCGCTTTCGCCGCGTAGAGCCGAGCGGCCTCCGTGACCTGGCGACGCTTGCGTGCGTGCCCTTACCACTGCCAAATGGCTGTGGGTCAAAAATACGTGCCCAAGATGGAACCCTGGTACATCGAAACATGGACTAAAACCTTCGGTGTCCTGGTGGTTTAATTTTGACCCACACGCAAATGCCGGCACAGATGGAAAAGAAGCAAAGCATTTGCAGTGCTGGAGTGCAAATGCTATCTCAGCATGCCACATATGAGACAAGCGGCTTGCTTTATGATACCCTCACGGGTCAGAATGCCGGGCATTGCTGGCTGGCCGTATCTATGGGCATTTGCTTGTGCCCATGTCTGCGAAGGCTACAATCAATGGTAAGCCGGCCAATGAGAGCTGAGTAGGTAGGCTGACGCAGGCGTATAAATGAAACCTTCAGAAGTCAGGTGAGGAGAAGCTGGTGGCTTGCTGCCACCACTCCTTAGCTTAACCACTGAACAGAAGTTCAGATGGGCGGCTGGAATGCAAGAGTTGCCAACGTTCCATCGAAGAGGGGTAGAGAAAAATCGTCTTCACGCTATCTACCCACGTCTAACTGGCTGGTGGTTGAGAAGTAGGTCATGATTTGCACACCACTGACCCTGCCATTAAAATGCATCCCCAAACAGTACAGCCAGCCAGGGGATACGTCTGGCAGCTAAATGCATCACCAAACAGTGCAGCCTCGGGCATGACTTGCTTTTACGCAAAAGAGCAGCCCGCCAATGCTGTCCAGGCCTGCCACCTTTGGGCAAGCAGCTGGTCAAGCCCCGGGGCAGGAATTTCTGCCTCTTTAGAGGAGCCGTTTGATCTGCTCCTCAGCCTCTGGGTACTTCTCTAACCTCGCGCAAGGCTCCAGCCGGAATTTGGGTTGAGCCCCAAGAGGGCCCCACAAAGACGCATCACCAAGCTCGAAGTGCTCAAACTCAAAGGCTGGACCACATGTGCAACCTGCAGCAGCCAAGTGCTGCCAGAAGCTTGCCGAATGCCGAGCGTGGCTGAGATGACTGCCGACCAAGGAAAAGCTGCCCTCGGGGTACGCACCGAACCTGCGGGCAGCTTCCCGCTTCCCATGGGCACGGCGCCTTGTCAGGGCCCCCGCCAAGTGCCGGCGTTCACCGTGTACTGCGGGCCTGCGATTGAGGGACTTCCATCCATTCCATTCCTCGTATCGGGCTGAGCTGCGCACAGAGTCCAGAGACGACGGAACCTAGACCTTACACGTCCGCCGTGTGTGATTCTGGAAGCCATGACATCTGATGCAATGAGCATCCAAATGCCGGAACCCATTACATTGAGGATCACTCAGGTTGTGGCGAGTTGTCCTCAACTGGCCCTGTACCTCTAAAATTAGCAGAGCTGGCTGAGCTTTTTCAAATCTCCACCCTTGCAAATGCATTGAAGCCCCAAGCAGATTCGTCAAGCTCAACGATGGTCACTGAAGCACCTCAAAGTTTGCGAATCAAGCGACATAAGCTCCATCATCAAGACTTCGTTGAGCAATGCCACACTCACACACCTGTCCACGGTTGCTTCGATTTGCCGCAGTTCTGTGAGGAGTCGAAGTCGTTGGCGTTGCCATTGACAGATTTGGGTCTTCTCACGACTCAAGCTTGTCACTGCTGCTTTTGGTTCACTATTCCACGGCTGGCCTAGCGGTCCTTTTACGGAAACACAACACAAGCTGTGCAATCCAAGCCAGCTGCCATGGTAGAAATGCCATGTCTCATCAACTCGAAGCCTGAGCACACTCACGCTGAACCCAGCCACAATTGCACTCAGCCTGTGCAGCTTGGAGACGTTGTCACCTGATGTTTGCTCTCCCCACTGCTCGTCTTGAGATACAGCTTTTGCCAAATACGCGCCTCAACCCCACAGCTGGAATAATGAGCTGAGCCAAGCACGCAACATCAGATAGAAGATTGCATTCAGGGCTCTTCCTCGGCCATCCGGCCCCTGGCGAATGTGCGCAACAGGAGCATGGAAATCCACCCGCATCTCATCCGAAGCCAAGTCAATTGCAGACCGTATTTAGTTCACCTGGGGGCCTGCGGTGCCAGCACATGATCCCCGGTCTGCCTGCACTTCTGTGCTAGAATAATGAGTCCGCCGGAAGAAACCGCCTGCAAGGGGAGATGGGAGCGAGCACAAGAGCACAGTGATATCGTGGATGGACGAAATCCTGAACCACTCGGAAACCACGAGAAACTGTTGTTCGTGGGCAATTTTAGGAGAATCATCCTCTCAGGGTCTGCTAGGTGGTGCGACATGGATTTCGTCCATCCACAGGGCCAGTGATACGTCGCGAAGCCTTCAGGAAGCAAAGGCTCCAGCTGCAACCGCTCCACCAGCTCCCGAACCTAGCGCCAAGTGCCTACCCAGCTTACCCGCTGACCCTCTCCGGGAAAAGCACGCACTGCCGCACTGCAGCTCGAAGTAGGCTTTTCAGGAAAGGAAGCAGCGATTGACCAGGACAAGGCTGGCAACATGCGGCTTCCCCCCCACTCAGCCACCCCCATCCAGATGGTTGCTTGAAGCCCTTGAAAATCGTGACAGGCCAATATTCAGCAAGCTTGGGCTGCGGCCGCATCGCAATCGCCCGAAATTGCTTTACGAAACGAAACTCAACATGACCATGTTGCCTAACATTCCCTTGCTCCTGGAAATGTTGAAACAGCCGCTGCCCTAAACAAAGCCTAAACCCTCAAGTCACTTGATCCTGAACAAAACCTAAACCCTAAAGTCAGTTCCAGGTCACCCCAAACCCTAAGATCACAGCTATCCCGGGTGTGGGTTCGCAGGCACAAAACAGCTTTGGCAGTAATAGTTGTTGATTTCTTCTGGCAGGCAGCGTGTTGCCCACTCGCCTACTTCAGTTTTGCTCCTCCTTGCTTCCCACTTCAGCCAGGGCTCACACGTCAACCTCTGAAGCTGACATGGGCAAGCTATCTCACGCCATCTTGAGCCCGTGGCTGCCTGTGGTGTGCGGTTGCGTGTGGCATGTGGCTGGTTCACCTGTGCCTTTCAAACTCGTAGCTTTTCGCGCCCTGTTCGAGCAGCCTGTGGTCTTTGCGTCTTTGCAAGATCAAGAGGGTCTTGACCGCGCTTCCACTAGCTCAATTCCGGCAGCATCTACTGTGAGTGGTTCATTCTCAGGTCATCCCTTGCCTCTGAGTCCTTCGATTTCCATTGCTGTTCCTACTGCCTCAACAAGGCAAATCAGGGCTGATGTCAGCCTGAAGTCACTCACATGCCTCACATGCATTCAGAGCCCCAGGCCCTGCATCTCATATCCAGAATTCGAGTTGCTCTGGATGACAACTGGATCATGAACTTGTTTCAAGTATGAACTCTGACTGAGCCTCTTTGTATGCAACCATGCTTTTTCGTGCTGGGGCGCTAAAGTCCGCAGAAGCTACACATGCCGCGCTGAAGGGCTGAGAAGCGGAAAGCTGCACATCCCGCCGATGTCACCCCATGGCCTCAGCAGGAAGGGTATGGGTCAAAATTAAACCACCAGGACACCACAGGTTTTAGTCCATGTTTCCATTTACCTGGGTTCCATTTTGGGTACCTATCTTTGACCCACAGCCATCTGCAGGCCGCGCCGGCCTTGCGAGCATCTTCCTCCCGCTTCTCCCGGTTCACACGCCTCAGCACGCCCACTCTGCCATTTGCACAGCCCTTGGGCCTCAGGCGCACACATGGCATCCCGCAGTCCAGCGCGATCCTCGTCGTTGGCGTTTTTGTACATGTCTGCCAAGAGCTCCTGCAGCTGCGGCCGCGACATTGCAAGTTGCAGGTGTCCGACGCTCCTCAGTGGTGGCGCCCTTCAGGTCACCGTGCTGGATACCTCGGTTGTTGGAACATTATGCCGTGACCCTGCGCCCGCAAGTTCGTGCGTTCCTTGAGGAGCCAGCGATACTCCCGCTTCCTTTGGTACCTCAGGGTCTTCAAGTCCAGCTCAGGTGTCTCCAGCAATAGGCAGCTTGTTTGTTTGCAGGTTAGGTTTGATTTCGAGCAAAGCCAAGGCCAGCTTTCCTGAATGGCCCGTGGAGGATGCCCGTTCTTGGAGGATTGGAGGATGGTGCCGAAAGTAGCTCAGAACCCTTGTGTCCAAGAAAATGCCCACCACGGTGCCCTGCTCTCTCAGTGCGTGGCCTGTCCTTCTCGTCGGTCAAATCCGACCATTCTGGGCAAGACATGTTGCACCGTGTGCCCACGCTAAACACACCTCTTCCACTTATGCTCATGTTTGTGAGAAGCCCCAGCGGGCGACTTGTTTTTGATTTCATGCATGTCATATTTGTTCAGCAGGCTCAAATGTGTGGGGGGGGGGGTCATGAAACCCTTACAGTAATAGGGATCATCATTTCAACATCAGGCCCATCCAAATGGTCAGCTTCTTTCTGGCACTCAAAAATGCCTCCACGAAGAAGCCGGCCAGCTTTCGGCCACATGGGACCGACCACGCGTCACATTGAGGCCAGCACCGCCAGCTCTCTGCTTGCGAAGCTTCACTACGACCTGAAGCTTCGCAAACCGAAGCCGGGCAGCGCGGCCGAAGTGCCGCAAGTGGCTGCTGGCACTGTCTGGCCTGATCGGCTTTGATGGTCCTTCGCGATGCCGTAGTGTCAATTGGGTGGCAGAGGTTGGGAACCTTGTACCTGCCCACCCAAGTTCAGAATTGCACGGCTCTCTTCTCGCTGTTTCAGCCATTCAGCACTGAGCCGGCACTCAAAGGCATGAAACCGTGCTCAAACAACCGCCAGGGCGCCAGTGTCGTTTGTCGCCTTTGGTGATGATCAGCAGGAAGCCAATGTCCCTGCGCAGGAGCTGGTGGTGGAGGTGGGGTGGCGGCGGCGGAATAGCGACTCTGATTAGTTTTTTGAGGCATGCTGCGGGCGGTGCCTGAACTCCACATGGACATTCTCTGCTGGGAGTTGGCCAACCTGTCAGGCGGGACTTCAGTCGCCATCTTGGCACCTCCTCGCAAGCTGCATCCTGCCGGAAGCAAATGGCCCGATCGCTTTTCTACGCTGTGTTTCAACGGCTCAGGTTTCTACACTGTTGCCAGCAGTTCGTGACTGCGCAGTAGACCGCGAATTCGGCGCCTAGAATCTACATGAGCGTTCCTAGCACAAGTCCCCGTTCCTGTTGATCCAGTGACTTGAAGAGCTTTTCAAAGGTGACCTTTTTGTCATCAACAGCAAGTTCTTGAAAGGCAGTCACCCAGGCATCCGGAAAGGTCACTCCATGGTAGTAGTTTGCGTCCAGATCCTTGAGCACCTCTTGGCCGCCCTTTATCCTGTTGGTAATGGTTGGGTTGTTGATGAGGTCAATGAGGTGCCTCAAGAACTCCACCCGTTCTGTCTGGTTGGCAGAATTCCACAAATGAACCAACGTCTGCATTCGCTGCGGTGCCGTCATCTTGGTCTGGTAGAAGCTCAACCAGTCCCCATCTGGGAGCGTAAGTGCTGGAGCATCATCCAAGGGTCTGCAATGCTCCTCTGGCAGCTTCACTGGACCCTCGGCCACTACAGGCTCAGCCGGAGGTGGCGCTGTCTTCTGTGGCTTCGGGGGAGCCTCGTCATCCGAGTCCTCAATCTTATCAAACTTGGAATAGTCAATGCCTGGCATTTCTGATCTCTGGCCCGGGCGTGTTAGCCAGGATAAGAGCAAAGCTGAGCTTGTTGAGCCAATCACAAAGAGCACATGGGCTGCACACATTGTTCGCAATCAGTCCCGGACTAATCAGCTACCAAGTGACACGATTATGCTGCTTTGCTTGCGCGCAGGGCATGGCACTGAGAATCGAGCTCCGTCGAATGGCAAGTAAATGCTCACCCCTGTGTTGCTCTGATCCTTGGTGCATCTGATTATCCATGGGGCCCGGCCATCCTGCCAAATCTCCGAGGGCCCGAACCCAAGAAAAGCGGCCGATTTTCGATGACACCTTGAAGCAACGAGACACATTCATGACACAGGCTCGCACATAAATGAACAGCCGTATTTTGAGGGAAAATGCTTGGTCGCACTGGCAAGCTGCACCCGGATCCCGTTGCTGAGCGCCGCAGCATCCAGATTTCTACTGAGGTCACCAAAGTCAGCCTCACTGGAAAGGCAGTGCTATCCAGCAGCATTTTCAACTTTTTCAGGAACAATGCAACCAGCCGAGCCAGCGACCAGCTGCCGCTGATCTTCTGGCACGACCTCCGGCCAGCACAAAAAGGCATCATGAGATTATCCCTGTCACCCCCAAACGCCAAGCAGCGATCGAAAGGTTTCGGCACGCTTGCTACCATCCAGGCCATGGAGCAGCTTGCAACGCGGGCTGCGACTCCCTAAGGAGGCCGCGGCCGGATCCAGACCCTCCTCTGCCACAAGCGCCTGAACGTCAAATTACCCCGACGGCTCACAGACGAGGAAGACGCGCATGCCTTGTCCACGTTCACTTGCTCCCAAGCTTGGTAGTAGGAGTTCACGTCCTCGCCACGGTTTGAAACTTACCAGGGCCCGCTCACGAATCCTGAAGACATGGGAGAGGGCAGAAGCGAACCCGAAAAACCGGGCCTTGTCATCCCTCCGCAGCTTAGGGTCTCTGGGCGCCGAGGATGCCTTGGACTCGCGCCATCCGAGCCGGCACCAAACGCTGTGCCTCTGAGGCCCTCGCAGCGGTGCCGTTGTCCGCCCGGCTTTTCTTCCGCGGCTGGCCCTTAGACGCGAACTGCCGCATGCAACATGATTCGCAAACATTGGTTGCGGCAACCTGTGCAGGGCTGGCTGATGGCAGCGCATGCCTTTTTCACAAGCCATTGAGCCGTTACCTTGAGCCACGTTGGTATCCTTGCCCACGGCTACATTCTTCTGTGGACAGCATGTTCCAGGAGGACCCCACCTCCAGAGATCCCAGCTTCTCCTCTCTCAACACCCAACTCACTCAACAATACACAACAACTTGGCACGAAGCAGAAGCCTGACAAGAACAAAGTGCTCTTAGGCTGAACCTGGTCAAAGTACATGGGGCGCAAGGAAAAGGGCCAACAGTCTAAGCCTGTCAAGGTCCTCAGTGTCAGACATCCCCATTGTGAGGGCAACAAGGGCGCCGCGTTGTCTGTCCGAAATGGCACCCAGAGACCCACAACGGTGCACGTCCATTCTGGTCAAGTGCAGTCCCATGCTCAAAGAATTGTATGTCAACCATGGGAACCTATCGCTGAGAAGGACACATCCTCGGGACTGGTCCACACCCGGTAACTGGACTTCCACCCTGCGCAGCATGGCGCTCATGCAGCCAGAGCATGCTTTCGCCGGCAACATGCTGCGATGGATGCCCGCCTAGGTCCTTGAAGGTAGCATCGTCTTCCTTCACCGCCTTGTTCCCATTCCAGGCACAAAGCTCAACGAACCGCAAATCCAGGGCCACTGCCGCCCTCAAGCTTTGCAGGCCTTTGTCCTGGCAAGCCTGCCAAAGTGATCTCATAGCAAGAGACATCGCCAACCGTGTCCACAACCTCCGGCTTACATGCCATAGCGTAAATCCAACTTGTGCAGGAGCAAGCGCGGCTCGAGCGAATAGTATGCAGAAATTCATGTAGCCATGGCACGGACACCTGTTTGCCAAGATTTCAGCCAAATGAATAGAATATCACCATGGCCGCTTTCAAAGTTCAGATTGCCTTCACATCCTTGCTGGTGCACGTGCAGGAATTTCACTGAGCACAAGACTAAAGAGAGCAAACAACAAAAGCACCGATTGCTCTGATGCTGGAGTTGCATTTTCGTGTGAGAATGGGGGACCCGCCCTTGCATGACAAAGTCAATGCACCAAGGTCCTCCCCAAAAACAACTGACTCGGTGCTTTGTTTCAAATACGCTGTGTGCCTGTTGCCTTGCCTGCCAAGCTTCACCGATTGCGAGAGTGCGGGCCTGCCGGCATCGCTCGACCAACTGCTTCTTGGCATCCGCCCCAGACCGCTGCACCAACTGCAGGAGGTGACCAAAGACCTCCGAGCTCACGTTTCATTGCAAGAGCCTACCACTTGTCCTATGGCTCCTGAGGCCGCCGCCCCATCGGAACCACAAAGTGCCACACCCAGGAGCTTGTCGCCTCAAGTTGGGAAGCACTATGTCCAGGATGTAGTTGTAATCAGCTCAGTTTCAAGGCCATTTGCAACATTTGCTTGCTTGCTTGCCTCGTGCAGCAATCCAGCACAAACCTGCTCCGGCTGCTTCAATGTGTGCCTGCGACAAACGTCTGACCGTCTCAAAGCCCAACTGGCTGCGGCGCCCCTTGAAAAACCCAAAAAATGCTGCGAATAGTTTGCAATGCACAAGGAAGCCATCCAGCCTGGAGGCTTTCTACAGAGCTGAACACAGCGTCTGCATCGGCTGCGCAAATCTGAAAGGCCTGCGAGTGCAACGGCAACAGCTTAGCGCGGCAGCCGTACCCAGTCAGCACAGCCTCTTTTGTGGGCGGTTAGTAACGCAAGCATGCACAAATCAAGCAGTCACCAGCATGGCTACCGTGCACCGGCGTCAGACTTGTTAGCCGCTGACGTCTAGGTCCGGCAAGGGCATCATTAGCGACGCCGTTTATTTACTGCATACTGGCTTTATCCAACAGGCGCATGTCCTACTCCAAATGCTGTCAACGAGCGAGCATGCGTGTGAGCAGGATATTGCCAGGCCTCTTCCGCATCGTATGGGCCCAAGGCCTTCACTTCCAAAGGCACCTCGCCTGAGAAAGCATCAGCAACTCCTCCTCTCAAACTGGTATGCACCCAAAACTCAGCTCCACCATGGGCCGCGGCAAGCTCCCCGCGCCTGCAGGGGCAGAAGAGGAAGAGGAGGAACACGCGGCTGCAAAGGTGTCCACTGCCTCGCAGGTTCAGCGACTCTTGCAAGTACTTCCCCGACACCTGGTGCGCTGAAAGTGCCGCCTTCCCAGGCATCTCCTCTGTTTCCGTAACGTCCTCGATGATGGGGCCCTCGCCGAAATGGCCACGCCCGCGCTGTGAATCGATGGCCCAGCCTGATACTCAGCTTCTGCGGCAGCTGGCTTGCCTTCCGCGGCCAGCACTGTCAACATGCAAGCACCGCTGCACATGCAGGCAGCAAATGCATCTCCCACCTGCATCCGCCTCTGGAATGGAGAAGCTCATGGGACTGTCCTCCACAGCTCAGCAGGTGCAGGTGGGGGTCGGAAAGGGGTAGAGCCTGCGTCCCTTGGAGATTTCGGTCGCAGAAGCCCTTCATCGCCTTGGCAACAAGCAGGCGAGGTCCCTACAGTTCAAGTGCCAATTTGAGTCAAAAGCTTGACAGGTCTCGAGCAAGCCCGTGCAATCAGTACTCCTTGGCGCTCAGACAGCACCCACTCTCCGAGTCAAGCTCTGTGTTCTTGCCCAAACATGAAACCACCGCGCTTCCTGTACACATTGGGCTCCCAGCGTCTCGGCTTTAAGCAGGGGAATGGCCACATCAAAGAGCTCCTTCAATGCTTTGCCCAACCCATCCGATCATTCCGTATGGCAGCTGCTCCAGTAGTCTGTTTGTTCGTGAGCGAGCTTGCGCTTGTGATCGGAATTGCTTGATCCAATCCGCGGCCCTGCCTTGGCCTCTTGATAGCGGCCACCCCAAGACTTCAACTCTGCTGCAGCCTGGGCAGAACTTCTTTTGCAAACCCTCCCTGTCTGTTAACAGGCCTTGTAGTAGACTGCAGCGTTACCATCCTGAACGGGAACGGCTACCGACAAGTTCCTTTTGCTCTCTGGTTCCTGCCTGAGGGAGCTCCTTCTTCACTCTCTTGACGACCTTGCAGCACAGGAATGCCCCAATGACTCAGAAAGCACCATGGGGCGCAAGGATTCTGATGTCTGGGCACCAGGCATACTCAGCTGTTTTAAAGTATTGCGCAAACCTAAGGTCCGTGAACTTGGAGCACCGCAACCCCCCGCCCACGAAGAAAAAAATGGGGGGCAAGCTCTAAGGGCTAGGCTTTGAGCGGTCAATGTTCGTGGCCTCCTTCAGGTGCCTTAACTCGCAGCGACTCAGCATGGCAAGCCTCACGGATGACAGGAGCTTGGCGTATCCATGAGCAGGTTGTGGATCTGTCAGGCAAGTGATGGGATTGAGAAGGCGAAGGCGCGTCAAGACACCAGCCTCGCCTCTAGCAGCGTCACAAGATCCCAGGCATCCTGCTAATGTCCGATCACTGATGCAAGCATGCAAGATGAAGACCGATGCAAAATGCCGTGAGTCCTTCATGGCCTCCAACTCGTACGCCCGCTTCAAGGCCTGCAAAGCAAAGCATGGAGAGGCCATGAGGGGCAGCAAATGCAAGTCTGCCACCATCTCGCGCATTGGGTCCATTCCGGTCTGGGCTACCAAATACATCTGGCAGGCCCATGGGGCCTGATTGCCCTAGAAATGGGCAGGAGAATGCCTCTTCCCCCATAAGACTTCAGACTTTTGGCGTCCCGCCGTCCGGGCACACTCTTTCGCCGAAGGTCCGCACAGAATCTAGGCCCTCCTGCAGCGTTCCACCTGCCCTCAGACATGACAAGAAGGGCTGCACGCGCTCGTGCTGGCAATACTTCCGCAAAGTTCTGGCGTAGTCCGGGATTCGATGAGCTGGTTTGATGTCAGTGTCAATCACCGACACTCGCCCCCACAACTCCTCTGCTTCGTCAGCCTGGAAGTACCCCAAGCCGACATGGGACTCTTCTGTCTGACATCGCCGCACGTTCACAATGATTGAAGCATCGTGGAAGGTCCTCCCAAGAAGGAACAAAGCCAAGATCAGCTCTGGGCGAAGGTCCTTGTATGCTTCATGGACAAGGCGCATCCCCTCACTATCAGCCTTGGTTCCCTCCAGCCGGGTCAGCAAGCCGCCCACCTCGGTCAGCGCCTCCTGAAAATCCGCTGCCGCGAGGTGCGCCGGCGCGCCGGCGGCTTCGTAGACTTCGGCCACCAAGTCCTCGACCTCCAGGCCGGCCGCCAGGAGGTCCAGAGCTCGCAGTTTCGACAGAAGCGGCCGAGCTCGCAGGAGCACCTCAGGCAGACTGGCAAGAGTCGCCTCCCAAGCCACACTTGCCCGGCAAAGTCTCCAAAGTTCTGACGGATTAGAAAAGAGAAATGCAAGAAGCAAATTAGCACATGTAACAGCTGCTCTTGGCGTGGGGGTGGGGTTGTAGCACCCCACCTCACACAAATCGTCCAAGGCAGCATCAGTCACGGCAGTCATGTCCCCAGACAGACATCGAAAGTTGTTCTGGCGAGGATCAGCGCTGGCCTGCGTCAAATGTACAATTTCTCTCTGCAGTCTCTTCTTGTCGTTGCAGAGTATCGCGCTGAAGAATTCAATTGGATTGTACTTTGAGAGGGACGACTTCTTCTTTGGAAAGTCGATGCACTGCAGCAAGGTAAAGCGGGGTACGGCCTCCACTCCGCATTCCCTCACCCCGCAGTCTGCGACGCCAAGCTTCGGCTTGATCTCAAAAGTGCCACCACTCGGACAGAAGGTCAAGTCCGGACAAAGCGCCGCCAGCACTGCGCCTCCGGCATCCAAGCCCCTGGAGCCCAAGCGGTCGTCAGGCCGGGCGCTGCGAAGGGTCTCATCCACCTGGATCCGGGCCGCCATGTCGGCGGAAATCTCCACCACAGATCCGCAAGCCATGTAACCATCCTGAGCAGAGAGAGTTGAGAACAGTCCACTCTCAACCAAAAAAACAAACAAAAAAGCACGGCTTGCAAACTGCCGAAACATGCAAAATGCGGTGTCAGCGGCTAGGATGGGCTGCAAAACGGACCGTTGGAAGTGTGCATCCTCCAGGACCTGATTGTTGGTGCTCTCCCCTTTTCGGAGGCGCAGGACATGTCCTCGGAAGCAAGGCTCGCTCCCCACGTAGCGCAGCACCATGTTGGCCCCGCCCTCGTTGACGTACTCCCACTGCAACCCGGCAGCTCCCAGGATCACGTCGTCAGGAATTCTTTGCGGAACCCAGTCCGGCTTCACCCCGCAAAGCTCTGCCATGGGCTATGCTCCCGCCCACACAGCCTTCCGAGCCGGCCCTAAAATGCATAGAACAGCAGGAGGCACCACCACCACCACCACCACCACCACCACCACCACCACCACCACCACCACCACAAGCAACAGCACCAGCAGCGCCAGCAGCAGAACAGCAGCGCAGCATTCCAGCACCACCCACCACCAGCATGCGTATACACACACACACTCATCTACACAAACGGTGCAACCAATCCCCACCTTCTGCGCATCTTCCCGTCTTCGCTGGGCCCAAAGAACCTTCCCAAGCTCATGGTAGGCGCTGGCTGTGAGTGGCCTGAGATTGGGCATGCTGACCTACGACGTGCAAACAGGCAAAAAGCAGAAGCTGCTGAAATCGATACCTCTCTTTGGCCCCATGCACTGCAACAAACTGATGAGGCTCGTGCGACGTCTCTCCACAAGTGATCTGAGCATTGACAACACCGCGATATGACAAAAGAAAAGCTGCCTAAGGCAAATCTGAAGCAACACATGCTGAAGAACGTGGATGTGTTCAAGACAATGAAACAGCGCCAAAAGCTGCCAGGCCTCATACATTTCTACCGCCTCGCGAATGTACGACTCCGCCTGAAAAGAGTAGCGCTCTTAGGCTTAACCTCACCAACCCCACGAGTACAAGGACGAAGAAAGCCAGCCTTCTTTTGATCACCCAGTTTGGCATAGATCTTGGCACAGGATATGCCTGCCTCCCCATTCAGGTGGACAAATTCCAGACACTCAAAGGAATTGCATTCAAGCACGCACCTTGGCTTGCAGGGATGCAGGGGCACCGTTGGCCCGCTCCTGCCATGGACCGAACATGAGGGAGCCACCAGTTTGCCATTGAAAAAATGGTGCTTCCCTTGCGTTTTGTTTCAACAAAAGGCTGCATACAGCTCTTCGCGAGGCAAAAGTCGGTCGGCCAAAACCTCTTGGACAAGCTTGCCCAGAATACACAAGGTCATCTCTTGCACGCAATTACTGCGTATCCTCAACATCACGGTGACAAACACGTAAAGGCACAAAACCCTTGAAAGCAATGAACATCAGCATCTGCAAAATGGCCATGGCAAAATACATGACGCGCCTTGTAGAACTCGTAGGCCTTAAGGCAGACCTGTGCCGCAGCCCCATGCGAAAATTGGGAGCTAGAAACGGAACGCGAGCTGTGTGGGCATGGTGCCAGCCTTGAACATCTGACAGCTACGCAGAATTTTCAATAGCAGAGCAAGGCGACGCTGTGGTAAGTTTTTCAGCTGGGTTCGTCAGGATCAAGCAACATCAGAAAGGGCGCGATTGCATTCCCAGGCCTTGGCAGAATGGGATTACGAGCGGCCTCCCTCAAAACAACGTAAGATTGAAAACATACTTAAGAAAGGACGGGCCAAAAGCTGCAACCAGCAACGGCGAACATGGCAGTATCAGCAGCCGGAACCAAAAATCCTGGTCTCTACATGCTACGGAAAAGGGCTTGGAGACGCGTGCTGAAAGGAAAATGGCCCAGCTGTGCACATGTCCACGCGGTGCCAGCCGGTCGCCCGGAGATTTGCGCAGAGGCAAACAGTAGCCGATTCGACCGCAGCGGCTTGCAAACAACCTCCCGCGCTTTCAAACGACAGCCCGGTCGTCAACCTGCTGTACAAAGAGGGCGCCAGGAAAGCCCCAGGTGGCATAGCGCGGCCCAAGATCGCTGCAGCAGGACAACCATAACACTTCAACTCCAGGGCAAAAGCAACGTGTAGAGCCAAGCGAGGCCGGCGAAAAATCATGCACCCCCAAACAAACCAACGTCGAAATAGCAAGCTTCAACAAACGGCCCTGCCACGCCCCCCCCCCCCCCCCACACATGAGAAAAGGCGCCCGTGGACCGCCTACCACCCCCGCCCCAGTACTTTTCCCGATTCTTGCCACCAACCCTGCCCTCCAAGGCATAAAGCCTTTCGAGGCCAGCTTTCGGACATACGCAAGATCAAGGCAGGAAGGACAAGAAGGGCAGGAAAGACAGGAAGGAAAGCACAGGAAGGACAGGAAGGACGGGGGGCACAGAAAGGACAGGAATAAGGAAAACAAAACAAAAAAAACGGAAGAACAAGCTGCCGGAGGTGTCTGCAAGTTCAGATGGTAGTGCCCTCGCTCTCTTCTAGAAATCTTCATTCCTTTGCCCTCGACATCAGTGCCGTCCTTTTGTGTTGCTATGTTGCTTTCAGATGTAAAGTAGCCCCACGCACCATGCACTGCCCTCATTCTGCAAACATGGCATTGACGCCCAAGGCCAAGACAGGAAGGGCCTCTTTTTGCTTCCCCAGGCGGTCCTGTCAAATGCGCTTCATGAAGCTTACCCGGGCTGTCCCGCACACGGGCTCAGCACGGGCTGTCCCGCACAATGCCAAGGCCAAGCAGCACCTCAGCAAGGTCGCTACCTGTCCAAGAGCCACTGACCCATCGCCAAGAGCAAGCTAGGTCCATAGCCCCACCGCGATTGCCCTGACACACAAAAAGAAAACTGGGTGAAACTGCAATCAAACAATCCGCGCCTTGTTCATGCCGGCCTCCTGCTCAATGAACTTGAGAGCCTTGACAGTTTCCTTTTTAGGAGTCGAGAAGACGACTCCACAGCCCTGCCTGTCGCAAGTAGTCTTCAGCCTTTTCAAAGTCACCAAGAGAGTTGTAGGTGTGCCTTTCCGGCAGGCCAAGCAAAACGTGCCGTATATCTCTTGGCATCACATAGCAATGGATGGATTCTGCTCTAGCCGTTCCCGGCACCACCAGTGACACTAGCAGCCTGTTAGTTGTTAAGTTATGATTGGATTGCCCGGGCAGCCGCCTAGCTGCTAAAGACCCACGCCAAGCACAGGCCAGGCTGGCGCGATGTTCTCGCAAAGGGCAGCACCTAACAACAAATCCGCCAACCCCTTTGCCAAAGCCATGTTAGTCCCACCTCCTAACCTCCTAACCTCCTAACCCCTTACCCAAACCTCTAACCTCCAACTCTAGCCTCTAGCCTCTAACCTCTAAACCCTAACCCCTAACCTCCTGACCTCCTAACCTCCAACTCAAACCGCTAACCTCTAAGCCTAACCGCTAAACCCTAACCCCGAACCTCCTAACCTCCTAACCTCTAACCCTAACCTCTAACGTCTAACCTCTAAACCCTAACCCCTAACCTTCTAACCTCCTAACCTCTAACCCAAACCTCTAACCTCTAACCCTAACGGCCACCCCCTAAACCGTAACCTCCTAACCTCCTACTCTGACCCTAACCTCTAACCTCTAACCTTAACCTCCAAACCTTAACCCCTGACCTCCTAACCTCCTAACCTCTAACCCTAACCTCTAACCTATAACCCTAACCTCTGAACCCTAAACCCTAACCTCCTAACCTCCTAACCACTAACCCAAACCTCTAACCTCTAATCCTAACCGCTAAACCCTAAACCCTAACCTCCTAACCTCCTATCCTCTAACCCTAGCCTCTAACCTCTAACCCTAACCTCCAAACCCTAACCCCTAACCTCCTCACCTCCCTAACCTCCGAACCTCTTACCACCTCCAAGCCTAACCGCCAAACCCTAACCCCAACCTTCCTGACCTCCTAACCTCCTAACCCTAACCTGTAACCTCTAAACCCTAACCCCTAACCTTCTAACCTCCTAACCTCTAACCCAAACCTCTAACCTCCTAACCCTGACTCTGGATCCTCCTTTCCGAATGAACCGCGCATGGGCTACCAGGTCATCATCTGGCAGAAGTAAATAAGCGCAAGGAATGCCCGCCATAAGGCAGACCTAAGCTTTCCCCCAAAAAAAAGAAAAAAGAACCAGACAGACGCGTTGCCCGCACCAGGCGAGCTGCCAACCCCCCCCCCCTTCGCGGATCCTCTTTCCTGAATGAGGCTTCGCGGTTGACTGTTGGGGCGCAAGCCTACTTGAGCATGGGCTACAAAGACCTCTTCCCCTAACCTCGGCAGCCTGCTCTAACAAAGCTGGGAAACGCTTTGCCTTTACCAATGATATGTCATACCAGCAAGCTTGTGCAGTGTGGCCGGCGAGGAAATGAAAGTTGCAGCCGGCGCTTGAACTATAGAACTGGGTGGAAATTTAGCAGCCCGCCACCCCCACCCACCCCCACCCCAGACAAGAAGCTTCACAGTAAAGTTGGTCAAAACTCGGGCAAGGATTGCTCTTCCCTTGCGGAATTTTCCCATGGAGGCCTGTGCCGCGCTCTCTAGTGCCTCAGGGCCTCACTCTTTCCCAGATGCTGCTCCATTTCCTTAGGTTATTCCCGCACTGCCTGCCAAGCTCTTGAATCTGTTGCGTAGCCTCCCTATCCAGCCACACGTTTAGTTTACCCACACGCCAGCCCAGGTCGCACAAGAAAGCGGCGTCGAAACGCGAGTCCCACATCAGGGATGTGGCCACAGTCAAACTTATGCGCAGCAGTTTTGAGGCTCCAGCGTGGAACAAAGGCAAAGCCTCTCGAAACCTTGACTGCTTCCAACCTGGCCAGGAAAATGATCCCAGTGCTCAGCAGCCATGTCGCCACACTGAGGCCTTGGCGGACAAATGCCAGGGCCTGAATTCCTTTCATGTAGAACTTGTCGCCGCGCTTCCGGCACACTGGCACCACCTACATCTCTGCTGCCTGCCTACCTGTCTGGCCTGCCTTGCCTGGCCTGCCTGCCTCTCTGCCTGTAGCATGGACTCTCTGGCGTATGAGACTCCAGCCTCCTCCAGGTAATCAGACAGCCTTGCATTTTGAGCAGCTAGATTGGGATATGGCCGAGCCGATGTCGGGAACTTTTTTTCAAGGCGTCGGTTTGGCAATTCGGCGCGCCGCTTTTGCAGCACCTGCCTCTGCATAGAACCCTTTGGGAACTTGCAGGGGCTTGGAGGAACCGAACTTGCCCACACCATCGAAGGGCGACTCTTCAAGATCGAAGGTTCTTGGCTTGACCACTGGCACGCTTTGGAGCTGGTGATCTCGCTGGCACGCAGTGACCCCTGTAATGGCCTCACGCAGGCCACCGAACTGATCCTGCCTTTGCCGGGTCTTGATGCCCTCCTGTTGCAGTGCCACGTAGGTGGCCTTGGCCGATTCTGCGGCCTCCAGCCTCAGACTCTGCATCTCCACTTCCGCGCTCAGCACGGCCTTGGCGGTGCGCACGTCGATGTCCTGCAGGCGCTCCGCCAGCTGCTCCCGGCGCGCTGCTGCCTCTGCCTCCAGCTCAGCGGTCTCAGCACCAATGGCTGCCACCTGGGGCAGCACGAAAATCAAATCTCGAAACTTGACCTCAAAAATATCCATCGAAAAAGGTGTCTCACTCCGGCAAGACCCCAGTCCTGCGCTTCGAGTTCCTCGCGCCTCTCCCGCGCAGCACGGGCCCGAGCCTCCGCAGCCAGCATTGACGTCTCGCCCTGCTGCCTCATCGCCTGCACTCGCTGCGCAGACTGTGCACCCTCCTTCGCCAAATCTGCCGAGTGCTGCTGCCGCAACGCCTCGCTAGCGCGCAGTGCCGTCATGCAGCCCTCCATACCGGGACTTGACCAAGTTGGTCGCAGAACATACAGGTGGTTGAGGAGCTGGCAGGGCCCAAAATCGGGGAGAAAACAAAAACGGAATGCTACAGCACCCATCATCTGTTTGGACACGCACCCGTGCAAGGCCAAGAAGCATTTGCTGCCGCCTCTGCCTGTGCATGTCGGCGCTCCGCCTGACACGCGAAGATCTTCCCTTGCGAGTGCGTTTGTCCCGAGTCTTTCCGTCCCCTCTGCCTTCTCCACACGCAGCTCCACCCTTCGCAGGCGCTCTGCCCGCGCGTGCTCGATGTCACTGACGAGCTGCGCAGCTCCCGGCTGCATGCCGGCAGTGCTTCGGAGGGCGTGGCTGTGAGCCGGAATGCTTCCAAGGCAAACTGTGTTTTGCAGACGCAGCTTCCGGTTCATGTTTGGTTGATCCTTTCTTGGGGCCACGGTTTCAAGCCAGGTCTGCTGCTTGACCCGTGCAAAACCGAGTCACGGGCTTGTTCAGTCGGTACAACTGAATGCAGTTATCGAAGAGAGCAAAGAACGTGTTCAGCGTCTCCTATGCTCGCAAATGCGCTAAGCCCTGAGCAAAAGCCCGACTATTTGCCTACGTGCGTGAACGTCTCTCTGTCTCTCTCTGTCTCTCTGTCTCTCGCGTTCTCTGTCTCTCTGTCTCTGTGTCTCTCTGTCTCTCGGTCTCTCGGTCTCTCGGTCTCTCGGTCTCTCGGTCCCTGTGTCTCTCGGCCTTTCTCTCTCTCTCTCTCTCTCTCTCTCTCTCTCTCTCTTTGTTTGCTGCCTCTGTCTCTGTCTCTGCCCCTCTTCCTCAATTTCTGCCCATCTACACATCCAGCAATCTTTTGCAGAAAGTCCTCATCATCAATTCCACGCCTTGGCCAGAGCAAGGAGGCTGTTAGGTCTCGTCTGTCTTTGTTAAGGGCTTTAAGCCACAGACTCTGCCACAAGCTTCTGATATCTCGCTTCCAGCTTCCTCTCATTCTCCTCCTGCTCCTCAACCTGATCCAAGACGCCCAGCCATCTACAAAAGTGCAAGTGCCAGCGCATGCAGCAAAGCTTGCCGATCCCAACTTCACCACTTGGCCCAGGGCTCTTTCAGGGTCATCATCGTCATGCTCAAGCTGCATGATGTCGAAGTTGGCATCCAAGACCTGGTGGCGATCACCGGACCGCTCTGCCAGCTTGCACGCCCTCTCAGGCAGCGGCATCAGCACCTGGCAGGGCCTGCTCCTCCTCTTTGGTCAGCGCCCTCGCAGGGGGTCAATCTGTTGTGAAGCGTCCGTGGCATCTCGTGAAGGCCACGATATGCACTTTCAAAGCAAAGGGCTCCTCCACTTCACAGCTTTCTTCTTGCACAAACTGATCACCTCGGGGCAGGGGGCTTGACCGCTTTCACAGAATTGCCCGTGCCTGCACCCGATGGAGCTTCTCTGAAGGCTAGGTGCATGGCCAACGTCTTGTTTGTTCCCACTTCAATCTGCCAGTCAGACCTGAGACCATGACTGTGAAGAAGCTATGTAAGCAAAAGCTGAGCTGCGGTCTCATCCACGTTAACCTCAACGCAAAGAAGACGACACAGCACTTCATTCCATCTGAATAAAACTTCGAGGCATTGAACAAGTACGTCCGTCTTGTTTGATATTGCTTGACGCTCTGCACCTCTCAACATTGCAATCGTCTCGGCCTTGCCGCAGAGCTCCTCATTGAAGAGAGCACCTTATGGCAGGCTGGCCAGCTGAGAGAGAGAGAGAGAGAGAGAGAGAGCCCGCTTATAGCAGCAACCTCAAACGAGCAACCCCAAGATTCTGCTCAGCTAAGGGATTGGCGACCAGCCACTGTCACCTCAAGGCACATCAAATTGGGCCAATGCTGGGAGCGTACCTCCTGCCTCGCAATCTGCCAATGCGCGGCAAGCCGCAAGTGAAAGTGACAACTTTGGAAAGAAGAAGAGTGACCCGTCTCTCGTGAAATCTTCTTGGAGATGCTCCATCAGTTCTAGTCCACAGGGCAAACAAGATGCATGAAAGCATGAGAGTGGCAGGAAGTGTATTTTCCGCGCAGCAGCATCTATGAAGCAACTCGGGAGGTTGATGCCATGCCATGCCATGCCGGACTGGGCAGCTGGATGCCTCAATAGCATGCCCGGAAGGGTCGATCAGTGCCGAGGCCGTGCGATGGATCTGCTTGTCCCGCGCCTTGATTTTCATGAGGGTCCCAGTCATGTGCCCATCATCTTTTGAGCTTGAATTTGTGCACTCCGTCCCGCGGAGGTGTTGGTGTTCGCGGAGCTTTCTGAACGTCGGTCTCTCCATCGGCTTCGGCATCGTCCCAAAGCCTCAGCAAACTCAAAGGGCTAATGACATCCAACGAGGGATTCGGGCAAAGCAGTGCTCTGTGGCAACAAGGGCCGCGGCCCACAGGTGGTTGTCTCCACCGTCACAGGTTCAAGGACCGCCCCTGAAAAGCTCAGAGCACTGCAGTCCGACCCGAACTCGCTGAGGCCGATTGGAGAGATGGGCCCTTCATTGGCTTCTGACTGGTGGTGCCCAGATTCAGGCAGACCTTCCGACATGTCACTTGCGACGCAATGCCGTGCCAAACATGGGCCACGCCTTCAAGCAGAGCCGTTGGATCAGATTCGGCGCTCTGGAAGAACTCATGGAGTAGGGCCTTTCCAGGTCCAGTGGCGTGCGGCAACTGAAGACAAGCCGAAGCCTCTGCAGCGCCCAAACGTCGACCAGGATTGAGCGGCAGAAATGCCCAGGCCAACGACTGCGACATCGGCGAAAATGATCCCAGGTCTGGGATCTCTGGCCTCGCGACTCGCGACGCGGATTTCTTCTGTTGGAACCCCTGTGCCTCAAGCGCTCCGTTCCTCCGGGCCCCGCGCGCCCGCTGCTTGAAGGAGACCTTGTGGTAGTCTGGCAACTTCCGCACCCCCGGCCAATCTTCCTCGTCCGGCGTGCCGAGCGCCTGCAGGCAGCATGGGTTGCAGGGTGCTTGGCGCATTCCCGCGCCTGGAAAATCAGGCATAGCTGCTCCAGGTCGCTGCCACCAGGGAACAAGGCATTGCCCAACATCATCTCGGCCACTGTGCACCCAGCTGCCCACAGGTCCACACCTAAAGCACGTCAAGACACAGAGGCACTCGAAAGCACTTTCCCAGGGGAAAGTGAATGTTTGCTGACTCGTTTTCACAGACGTCATATGAAACATGAAACTATGACCACGTGCAGCCAAGGCCGCCAAACGAGTAGTTCACAGATCCGAACAGCATTTCTGGAGATTTGTACCAGCGGGTGCAAACATCTCTTGTCATCAGACCACTCTCTGAGCACGTCTGGAAGCTCGATCTTTCCAAATCGGTCACGCTGGGCAAGAACCTCAGCGCTCGGGTGCTGCGACTTGCACAATGCGCCTTGGCCCCTGGCCTGGCAGAGCCGAAGTCTGCCACTTTCAGCTGACCGGTCTGCCCATCCTGTGCTAAGGATCGTACTTGGGCTCTGCATGCAAATCGCCACCGATCGCTGGGCGTTTCAGGTATGGGACTTGAAGGTACGGTACTGGCAATGCCCCCTGCACGGGCTTATACTTTGAGTCAAAATATCCTTCACTTGCCGGCCAAAGCTCCATCAGCATGTTGGGGGGCTTCAAGTCACGGTGAACTACACGGTGCTCGTGCAAGAAAGCAACACCACGCAGCAGCATCCGCGCAATGCCCTTGACTGCCTCTTCACTCAGCGGCTTCTTGTGTTCTAGCCTTTCAAGCTGGGTCACGCTTGGCTTTGCCCGCTGTCAAACACAAATCATATCTAAACTGAGCGCGGCGCACAGTGGCCAGATCCCAAGACAGGTAGGGGTAGACCAACACGGCCATGGCAGCACCAGGCTCCACGTAGTGATCCAGAAGTTCGACAATGTTGGTATGCTTCACGTCGACCAGCACATCTCTTTCCCGCTCTGCGCTTTTGTACCATGGGTCGAAATCAAGGCCGGGGAGATTCCGGCGTGCTCTGATCTTCTTCACCGCAACCGCCCTTCCGCTCGAAAGTTGCCTTGCAGCAAACACGGTTCCAAATCGTCCTTCTGCAATGCGCCCAGTGACCTCGGCCAAACCAAGAACTCTCCACAGTCACTTTGGAACCCTGCCTGGTAGTCTGTGAGCGGCATCTAGTATCGGCTCCATGGCACGGCTTGAGCCATGGTTCTGGTTGCCGTATCTCTTCATTCAGCGCGCTCTTGATGGCAAATACAGACTTTGGGCCAGACTGACAAGTGGGTGGCATCAATCTTGACTTTGAGCTGCTCCTTGCCTGGGCAAGAACCAGCACAATCCCTCTGGTTTAGTGCAGCACTCAGGTCGCTCAGCCTGTCGAGCTCTCCAGAGCGAACTTTAAAATGACCTGCTGGCGTACATGATCGACACATCCGCCCATGGTCATTCAATTCACGTCGCACATGCCGCAACAAGCCTCGGAGTCACTTTGTGACCAGTCGGTTGCCATCGCGCAAGCTGTGCTACTGCCCCTTTGCTGCTCGAGGTCCAAGGTCACCACGTGCAACAGCCCAAAGTCACAAAGCCGGCCAAGCAAAGTGCGCAACGTGGCTTGGGACTTTTTACTGTGGCCCTAATATTCTTCGCCACGGAGGCCTTTTGGCCTGCATGCTCCGCGCACCGGGCGTGTGCCAAGGAGACTCAAGGCACCGTCACCACGCTGAACACAAACCATAAACGGCAGTGAAACTGAAATAGGCCGCAGCGCGAATGTCAGCTTTACTGTGCTCTGCAAGCCTAGGTACAAAAATAGTTGTGATGTGGCTTCCTTGGGAACGAGTCCTCTGCTCAAAACGAACTATGGCACAATGTTGAAATGTCTGTTGTGTCGCTATTGTTTGGGACACTCGGATAAGAACAAGCGCAGAGGGCCTCGTCTCTTCAAGGACGGCACGCGACTCCAGCATGGGGCTGTGCGCACGCATCACGCCAATAAGTGACTAGGAGGGTGAAATATCTTCTAGTCAGATTTCCATTGACCGCTGTCTTCATATTCATCCTTACGAAGGAGCAAAACCTCCCTCGCCCCACATTTCATCAAACACAGAGTTGCCAAGAGTCAAAGCAGCAGTAGCTGCAGCATCTGCAACATTGACGAGACTCCGCCTGCCAATCAGCCAAACATCGAAGCACCGCATCAAAGGTTTCTGCTCCCCTGCTAAATGTTTAACTTTTAGTGGTTTAATGGAAAACCCATTAGTGGGCAAAAACTTGAAGTCCTAACATCCCTGCAAATTGCACTAAAGAGTTGCTGGCCAGAAATGGACACACCCTTTCCAAATTCCTCCGTGCCGTGTGCTGGACACCCAATGAGCAACATGAGTGTCCAGCCTGGTACGGCACAGTTTGCGTCATCCGACTTATCCTGCAACGTGGGCAGGACCAGTCGTGCGGCGTTTGTGCCTCTAAAATGTACGTTGTTGGATAGTCCAACAGAAAGAACCCGTGAACACCGCGAACCAAGCTGCCAAATGCTGCTCAGCCTCATTTTCGGCCCCGGCGCACCAAGCAGAAACCACGCTTTCTTCGGTGCATTGAACTCCGCAGCCTTGAAGTCAAAGCCTGGGCTCGCTGTCAACCGGAAGCTTAGGATCTGCTTGTGTGTGGGCTGGCTGTCAAGCAGCATTCGGGAGGCAGGTTGTCGAATACATCGCAGGATTCACAGTATCCTTTCACGTCCTCAAAGTGCAAATGCAGTTGTGGCTTCTTCCCGGGATTCTTCTTGAAAGCCGACTTCAGCTTTGGCTGCTCTGGCTGAAGGTCGGCAACCTGATTCTCGGCATCGTGCCCTTCGGATAGGAGTTCTCCTGACTCACCGCGCTGGCGTTAGCTAAACTAGGTTCGAATGTACTGGCCAAGGGTTGCCGCATCAAGCACAACGGGACATATGACTGCATGCGTCTCCAAGATGCTGTTTGAAGAATCGTCCGTCGGAGTTGCAGACCGGTGACTGTCAGAGAGTGACGAAAAATTACCAAACAGCGGCGGCGGCCTGAAGGCCATGATTACGCCAACTCGAGAGCGTGCGGATTTCCACATCTTCCCTCCAAGTGCCTGCAAGATCCAAGGGCACAGCGAATTTTGAGCTGCCCTCATTCACGCAAATTGAACAACGCTGATGGAAAACGCACAAGTCCACGGAAACTAAGGCTCCCACAACAGCCTCTTTGGACATCTGCCTATGCAGCTTTGATGGAGCTGGCAACTGCGCAAAGATGTTAGGAGTCAAAGTCTCTTCTGCACAGCACACCACTACGAGGGTGCCATCTTTGAACGGTGAACTCATCAGCTGCATTGGGAGCTCCTGCACCTTCCACTCGTTCTTGCCTGCCTGCTCTGAGGCAATCCATATTGCCGTGACTTGCCGTTCCACGCCGCGGCTGAGCCACTTTGCCACGCTTTCCCAAGTGAGTTTCCCAGCATGCTCGTTGCCACATTGGAAATACTTGGGAACTGGAAGTCTTCCTGCACAGTTGGCTAATAAAAACACGATCTAAACACCCCCCCCCCCGCCTCACTTTTCGCAAAGAACACATTTCGGCCAAGACACGAGGCTGGACGGGTTGCCGTTGATCGCAAACATAGATCCAGGGCATCTTTGGCAGTTCCCCAAAAGTTGATTGCTTCTCCAGGTTTTCCCTGCTGTGCTTGCCAGCAGCCACTGCGGCAGCTGCCGCGAAAGAAGACATGGCGCCAAGTCAAATCGGCTAGCAATTGGACTGCGCAACACTTGGTTAAAAAGGCGTTGAAAAAACGCACACGCGCCAACAAAGATGTGTCCAACTGTCGGGTCGCCTGTAAAAAGCTGGCTGCACCAACAAAGCATGTGCTGAATATGTTTGGATGGCGCAGACCTCTGCAACCAGAACCGTGCTGGGAAAAGGCAACAAGTAAAGTCCTCTATTGACAACTGGAGATACCATGCCACAAAACTGCGAAAATTGAGAAAAACAGGTTTTCTCAACCGGTCAAGATGTAGCCTGAACATTAAATTCGTCGAGGTTAACATGCGCAACGCAAAGTTGTAAAGAGACTGGCTGGGCACCATTGCTGGAAAACGGGCGTGGTCTTGTCTCCGCAACCAATCACTGCGGCATTAAGCCATCTTCTCAACAGCTGTTTTGCAATCAAATGGATCCTTCTTGTCCAATTTGAATCCAACGGGTGCACTTGAGTGGGTGTTCTTACCATTTGGCAGGTGTGCGTGCCGTGCTGAGCGGTGCACTGGGCTGGCATGTGTGCAGCTCTGTGTTGGCGCACTTGAACGGGTGTTCCTGCCATTTGGCAGGCATGTGTGCAGTGCTGAGCGAACGCACTCGAGTGGCGGGGCCAACCTATGGTTGGCGCCTGGACGCTGCCGCCTGAGCGGCGCAGCCTGGCTGTTCTGGGTACGCCGGTGGGCCATTGTGTCAAATACGTGTGGAGCACCAACGGCTGCCCAACCGCATCCCTTGCGTGCCCGACTTGCAGGCGGCGTGGCTGATGCTCCTCTTCTGCGCGCGGCTGCGGTGCAATGACCTGCTGCGAGCGTTGCCGCCCGCTGACACGGCTGCGTATGGCGCTCGCCGCTTGCTGGAGGGGGTGTGCAGAGCTCAGCGGGTGCACTGGAGCTGTTCCTACCACTTTGCCGGCATGTGCACAGCGCAATTGAGCTGCCATTTCGCAGGCATATTTGCAGCGCTGAGCAAATGAGCATGAGTACACCCATTATATGATTCTTTTTTTGGCCGAGCATACCTTGCACGAGGAAACTTGCGCGCTAACTTGGTGCAGACAGGGTGAAACGCTTCCAAAGACGAGGGCGACGGGCACTCGCCGTCAAGCCGGCCCCTCAGCCGGCCCGTAGCGGCAGCCGGCTGACTTCCTCAGCCGCACCAAGGCGTGCGGCCGCCAGCATCTCGGGCAAGGGCGGCTCTGTGCCATCCAGGCCCACCGCCGCCCGCGTTTAGCGCAGCGAGGAGATCAGCCCCAAGCGTTGGCAGACGTCCCCGTAGAACCGGGAGGCAATCGGCCCAGGTGCACCTCTATGCCCGCATGCTCCTGCAACACCACTCGGGCAACGCTGGACGAAGCGGCAGTCGGCAAGGACATCGCTGACTGGCGGGGCCGCTCTGTCAAGACAAGCTCCGGCGCCCGGCAAGAAGAGGAGGCTGGCTGCAAAGGCCCGGGCTGCTGCAAAGGACAACACCGCGGACCAGCGGGCACGAAAAGCGGCAGCTGTGCACGTCTGCAGCCTGTCTTGGGGGAAGGGCGGACAAACTAGGCGGCCTCCGGGCTCCTCCGCCCTCCAACCTCAAGGTTCAGCGCTTCCAACTGAAGACACGAGCTCATGGTAGGTTCGCTCCTTGGCGCGCCGAGCTATGCGAAGAGCTGCTTTCAACACGGCGGTGGTACAAACGTGCCTTGCCAGCTGAGTCCAACCGACACAAGGGCGGTGTCGACCGCAACCTGCACCCTGCCCCCAACAAACACAGGTCAGATAGTACACATGCCCACGCAACAAGACCCTCCAGAATAAGCAAGCCGTATAGGGATTCAAGCTCTGCATCCTTGACCATAAATACCTAGCAAACAGGATGCCTGAAACGGAGCAGCCAATTTTCGCGAGTTGTTGCACTGCGGCGAAGTTGCCATAGTGGGGTCCCAAACAAGCGGGATACCTCATCCCATCAGCCGGTTGCACCTGCACCATGAGAGCCACACCAGAGCCTACTCTGCCGAGATCCCCACGGCGAAGCGCCCTTGCACCAAGCCAGGCACAGACAGGGAGGCTCGCGCCATTGCGCAGCCCAAGCAGTGCGTGCGCCCGCCGGACGCGGTTGCCATGCACAGCGCGCATGCGTGGCGACAGTTACTACTTGGACGACCGCGCGCGACAGCATTTGGAGCGACTCGCACAGCTCCCACAAGTGCAGCTGTTGCCGCTCATGGCCGTTGCCGCTCATGGCCTGGCCTGTCGCCTTGTCAAGACCGGCCTTGCCGTGTCAGATCGCCTAGCACCGCACTGATGACTGAACCGCGCGAAAAAATGAGGTGACTACGCACGTCTGTGTTGCTTGCCAGACTAAATCCCCTCGTTTGTTCAGCGCGTGTGCGCAGCAATCTCGGTCAGCAACGGGCACACAGTGCCATGTGTCTCAGACCCGCGAGCGCCCCGAGGTAACACGCACAGCCTCGCGCAGGCTCTCTAGCCCCTCAACTCATTCTCTTGGCTTGATTGTTTTTTCTCGCCTTGTCAGGTGCTTCGTAGACTTCCTCCTGCACAACATCGCCGGGACAATTCTTTATACCGCGCTTCCTTGTTGGCCTTGCTCACTTGTCAGGTGCTTCGTGCGCTTCTTCCTGCAAGAGCAACGCAAGGACAACTCCTTGCACCCCCTCCCCTGCTCCTAATCAGCTCTGGTGCGCTTTAGGCAGTGCCCTGCCAAACAGTGCCCACTGGCCCAAGCCCGCGACTCCCAGGACACTTTACGCCCCTTTGCCTGTCTTGCCAGGTACCTTTTTTTATCTCAACAACAAAGTGACCCCAGCACAGCACAGGCCAAACATGATGGTGCCTTGCAACGCCATGCCTCAAACTCTGTGCCTCTTCCACGATCTGCATACATGGCAACTGCTCTTCTTTTCTTCCGTCGCGCGTTGCCAAAGGCATGGGGTCGAAAACTGGCCTGCACCAAATGCGCTGGTGACCCCCATGCGCCAGTGTGCGGCGACACTCACAGTCATCTCCCGCGCTGGTGACCCCCATGCGCCAGTGTGCGGCGACATTCACAGTCGAAAACTGGCCTGCACCAAACGCCACTCACAGTCATCTCCCTTCAACGGCAACTACAAGACGTGAAGGTGGAGAAGCATATGCGGCACACATGAGATGTTGGACAGGCCGTGGTGCGGCTGCTTTTGTTGCGTGCTGCCTGGAAAGTCCAGCAGAAGCCGCATTCCACGGGCTGCGCGCTTGCAGAGGCATTGCGGGCTTCTGACACGGCGGGGCTCTGCGTCTCATGCTTCTCGCCTGCTGCTGTAGTCTCCTCAGCGCTCAGTTTGGGCGCCATGAGAATAGGTGTAGCAGGGAGGGCGGGCGGGTGTCGCGACTGACAACTAGAGGTTCCCACGCTTAGAGCCCAGCATTTGGCACCACAAGTATGTTCAACCATCATGTTTATAAGCAATGTGCAAAACACAACACAATTGAGGGGTTGCCTTTGTTGTGTTAGATAGGACTATCACCTGCGGTGAGGGCGTCCATCTCAACAACAAAGTGACCCCAGCACAGCACAGGCCAAACATGATGGTGCCTTGCAACGCCATGCCTCAAACTCACGATCTGCATACATGGCAACTGCTCTTCTTTTCTTCCGTCGCGCGTTGTCAAAGGCATGGGGTCGAAAACTGGCCTGCACCAAATGCGCTGGTGACCCCCATGCGCCAGTGTGCGGCGACACTCACAGTCATCTCCCCATTTTCACTCCAGCCCTTGACATGCGCCACCTTCAGACGTGAGAGCTTGCATGCAGTCGATGAACAAGATATCACGAGACAATGCGTCAATCAAATCGCTGGGTGCTTCCAAAGGGGGCATGACCTGGCCCTGGATCCTTGCTGCGAGCTCTGCCACTTTGCCCCTGGACGGCCAATCTGCCGGATTGCTGGCTGAGGGGATCCGTGTGAACCAGGACATTATGTTGTGTCGCGAGAGGGCTAGCGCCACTGAGGCCAACATTGCAAACAAGCTCCCAACAGGTGATGCGCCTTTGGTCAAGGCATCTCGCACTGAATTATTGTCTATAAAGCTGACGAGCCTCCGGCCTTGCCATTGCTGGCCGTACACTGCCAATGCAGCCACCACCGGCCACAGCTCTATATAAGCTATCAATTGCTTTTTGCCTTGACCTGCCCAAGCGTCGACTAGGCGTTGGGGACAACCACCTCCTGTACGACTCGCTTCCCCCGCACTTGGTCGACAAACACAAGGCCAGCTCCTGACACGTAGCCGCCTTGCTCCGGCTCGTAGGAGCCATCTGTGAAGAGGAGTACCGGAGTCTCTACGTCACACACAGACAGCGTCCTAGGTGGGGCTGTCCGCAGTGTGGTCAAGACATACGTGACCACCATAGGGAGAAGTTCTAAGTCTGAAGCCCTCCATCCCCGGCTGGAGATTTCAGACAAGTACGCCATGCCGTAGAGCTGGCCTTGCGCGAAATTGAGTTGCCCCTGCAAGGATGATGCCTCCGAGGCAAGCATGGCTTGCCTGTTCAAGATGGCACACAAACCTTCTGCAATGTTCTGCACTCTCTCGGGTTTGTTGGACACGGTAACTTGTCCCTTGCCCCAGGTCTACAATCAAACCAAGCACTTGAAACTTGTTGTTGAAAGGGAGGGATTTGCTGCCTCCTTCTGCAAAGGCCCACCCAAGCGCTTTGAGCAACGTTTCAAGAAAGCCTCTGCTAGAACTAGCCCCGCGAGTCAACTCTACCGAGGGGTAATCGTCAAAGTAATGAGTTACCCAGCAGTCCCCGAGCTCTACTGCTAAGTGCCAAAGAAATGCTGCCGCCCGATTGAATGCATAAACGCTTGATGTGGCACCGAACGGTAGGGCCTGAGAGATAAAGTATTGAGGCTTGCTCTCAGCCGGATTCCATGCACACAACACTGCTGCCCAGCTCTGCCTGGAGCTTACTGGCTGTTGCTTGTACGCTGATCGCAAATCAAGCGTGCGGCCAAGCAGACTCAGGTCTTGGCCCCAGTCGGGATGCACTGAGC